TTCAATGATCGCCCGATTTTAAACATGAAAGGCACATTGTTTCTCCTGGCTCCCCTCGTGGGTGCCGCTGTCCTGGGATCGAAATCACAGCTTGACAGTTGTCCTGGCTATAAAGCTTCCAATGTGAAGCAGCAGTTGGGTCAGAGATTGACTGCTGACCTGGATATTGCCGGAGAGGCCTGTAATACCTACGGTACCGATCTTCCAAACTTGAAGCTCCTTGTAGAGACACAAACTGGTATACTAAATTTCCCCATACTTCATCCCCAAGTATGAATGTATACTCATCATTCTACTAGAAAACCGCCTCCATGTCATAATCTATGATGCCGATGAGGAGGTATATCAAGTACCAGACTCTGTTCTCCCCAGACCCGAGAGCGCAAAAGGTCGTCAAAAGGAGTCCGCCCTTCGCTTCGACTTCGAAGAGAATCCTTTCTCATTCCGAGTATTGCGCGAGGAGGAAGTGCTGTTCGACACATCTGGAACCGACATCATTTTCCAGTCCCAGTACTTGCATTTGCGCACTTGGCTTCCCAATGATCCGAACCTGTATGGTCTGGGCGAACACAGTGATTCGCTGCGTCTGCCTACCACAAACTATACTCGCACTATCTGGAACCGTGATGCATATAGCATCCCCTCCAATTCGAACCTTTACGGTACTCATCCTATTTACGTTGATCACCGCGGAGAGAAGGGCACCCATGGGGTTTTCTTTTTGAACTCGAATGGCATGGACATCAAGATTGACAAAACTGCTGATGGCAAGCAATACCTCGAGTATAACACCCTCGGCGGAGTCCTAGACTTCTACTTCATGGCCGGCCCGACCCCCAAGGAAGTCAGCGAGCAGTACTCCGAGGTTGTTGGTCTTCCTGTTATGCAAAGCTACTGGACCTTTGGAGTATGGTCTTTCACATTGAAATTTTGACACTGTATTCCAATTGACATTCCTTTAGTATCACAACTGCCGGTATGGCTACCAGGATGTCTTCGAAGTCGCCGAGGTAGTTTACAACTACAGCCGTGCTGGAATCCCACTCGAGACTATGTGGACCGACATTGATTATATGAAAGGTCGACAGGTATTTACTCTAGACGATGAGCGGTACCCTGTCGACAAGATGCGCGAGCTGGTTTCGTATCTTCACAAGCATGACCAGCACTACATTGTCATGGTCGATCCGGCCGTCAGTAACTCTGGTAAGTATTATAATTACTTGCTCCCCCTCAATTCCGCTCTAACGATGAGTGTGTTATCAGACAACGGTGCTTTCAATCGAGGCCACGACCAGGGCGTCTTCCTGTACCGTGACAATGAGCAGAAAGAACTCTACCAAGGTAGGTTTATTAACAGAAGCACAATACCCACTATTCCTAACATTATATCTCCAGGCGCCGTCTGGCCCGGCCCAACCGTCTACCCAGACTGGTTCAACCAAGACACGCAGAGATACTGGAACTCAGAATTCAAGCGATTCTTCAGCGCAAGAGACGGCATCGACATCGACGGTCTATGGATCGACATGAACGAAGCCTCCAACTTCTGCCCGTACCCCTGCAAGAACCCGGCAGAATACGCCAAGGAGAACAACCTACCCCCAGCACCTCCACCAGTCCGATCGCCTCCCCGCCATATCCCCGGTTTCCCGGCTGATTTCCAGCCTGGGTCTTCTTCATCTGGGTCTTCTTCGTCGCGCCATGCAAAAAGAGGTGACGCTGTCATCGAGACACGCAGCGTCGACGAGGAACGGAGCCGAGGTGGAAAGGGAAAGAAGGTCGGCTTGTCTGGTCGAGACCTTATTAACCCGCCTTATCAGATTGCAAACGAGGCTGGCTCCATTAGCAATAAGACTATTGATACTGATATTATTCATGCTGGTGAGGGTTACGCTGAGTATGACACGCATAATCTCTACGGAACTAGTAAGTCCCCTGTGTTCATTATCGGAACCTTTCTAACACCAACCCTAGTGATGAGCTCGGCTTCCCGTGAGGCAATGTTGAAGCGTCGACCCGACGTGCGACCCTTGATCATCACACGTAGCACCTTTGCCGGAGCAGGCTCTCAGGTTGGCCACTGGTAAGATCACACAAACCTCCCAAACCAGCCTACCAGTTACATCTATACTAACCTCATTCCCCCAACAGGCTCGGCGACAATTTCAGCCAATGGGATAAATACCGCGTATCAATCCCGCAGATGCTAGCCTTCGCCTCGATTTTCCAGATCCCAATGGTCGGCAGCGACGTCTGCGGCTTCGGCGCAAATACGACGGAAGAGCTGTGCGCGCGCTGGGCAATGCTCGGCGGCTTCTATCCATTCTATCGTAACCACAACGAGTTCGGCACCGTTCCACAGGAATTCTACCGCTGGCCTACTGTGACAAAAGCCGCGAAGAAGATCATCGATATCAGATACCGTCTTCTCGATTACCTGTATACTTCTTTCCATCGCCAGACCTTGACGGGGAGTCCGTTCCTCCAGCCTCTTTTCTATGTCTACCCGGAGGATAGCGAGACCTTCGGTAATGATTTGCAGTTCTTCTACGGTGATTCCATTCTCGTCTCGCCTGTCTCGGAAGAGGGCGCTACGTCCGTCGACGCTTATTTCCCTGATGATATCTTCTATGATTGGTTTACTGGTGTTGCTGTGCAGGGCGATGGGTCTGTGAAGACGATTACTGATCTCGCTATTACCGATATCCCGATTCATATCCGTGGTGGGAGTATCATCCCCCTCCGTACGGCGAGTGCTAAGACCACGACGGATCTGCGCAAGCGCGGCTTTGAGATTCTCATTGCGCCTGGTGCTGATGGGTCTGCGGAGGGTGAGCTGTATATTGATGATGGTGAGTCGGTTCAGCCGGATAGTGCGGCGGAGATTCAGTTCAAGTATCGGGATGGCAAGCTTAAGATCCTGGGTCGGTTTGGGTATCATCCTAATGTGCTTGTTGAGGCTGTGACGCTGCTTGGGCAGAAGAATAGGCGCCGGGATGTTGGGTATGATGCTCAGAGGCAGAGTGTTACAAAGAAGGTCCAGATTGAGTTGACTGGGCCCGCTGAGGTGACTCTGTGAGTCTCCTATGATATAGGATGGTAGTTGGATTATGGTCGTTAAGTTGGTTGTTGAGTTTGAGGGCTCTTTTTTTAGATTGCAGGATCCACGCATGTCTCTAGGGCTGGTTATTTTTCTGGGGAACACCACATTCTTTAGGTAGAGCTCCGAACGCCACGTTTTTTTTCCTTCTGTTTTACTCAATTTGGCCAGCAATCTTAATTTAGACACCTGGAGGTCTACATCCATGGATCGATATAAGCGAGTATTTTTATTCGGGTAAAGTGAGTCGAAACGGTGATTGGATGAATCGACTACCGTTCCTGCATTTTAGCCCCATAGCCAAGCAGGCGAGTTAGCAATCATGTGCAAGGATATGTACATCCATGTATGATGTATACAACATCAATAATTATAATTAATTAAGCGTTTGAAAAGAAAACCGAAAACAATAACCTCCTTGCATGGCCTTGCATGAAAGGGGATATGAGGAGGGGGAAGACACTGCCCTTGAAATAATGAAAATTTCAGCTCAACTCTTGAAAGACAAGAATAACTCCATCGGAGAAGTGAGACTGAAGGGCTAAATACTATTCTACACCCAGTCAGGTACGGAGTACTATTCTAAGGGAAACAGTCTCACTCAGCCCCCGAGTGAGGTGGTATCGGCACTAGTTCAGGCACAGGCCGCTAGTTCCTGAGTCATCTGATGGGAGACCCGTGAAACCGTGAACCCGTGAACCGGTGGACTTCGTATTTAAAATTACATATTTATGTACTAGGAGTTATTATTAGTATCGAATTTGGGCAATTTTATGCGAGCGGTACTGAGTAGAACCTATGCAAAAGCAGTGCACGAGAAAAGGAACAAGGTAGACAAAACCCTCATACTGTAGACTACCGTGCCCTCAGTAGGACTGTGGTCTAGTGGCCCGTGTTTCATGATTGCATGGATGTGATAGTGATGATAGGCATTAATTTAAATTGGGGGTTTCCAGGGTGATCCATATACAACATAGTAGTGCCATACAATAATGTAGCCATATGATTGAGTTAGGGTGTATTAAATGTCATGGCTGTCATGGTTGGAATTGTAATATAAAAATTCAGACCTCGGGTGGGAGAAAAAAAGAAAAGAAAAGAAAAGAAAACCCTATAAGGCAATACTTGGCGGTCGCTTACGTTGATTCACCTATTTTCGAAAAGGTGTCATATATGGAGTAGTGGTATGTTATTCTATTGAATTCTCTTTTATGGACCCTTGATGTAACAGTACAGAGTAGTTTGTGATAATTACGAATATACTTTTTACCATATGATCGGATCGGCTGATCAACTTGAGGGTCACCATATATACAACATAGCCCTGGAGACGCTTTAGGCATTACATCTATAGGGATGACTGCAATAGGTACATGTAGGGATGACTATATTGTATGGATGTATATTATACTTCGTACATACAATCACCCGTGGATATTTCCAGCCTCATCCTTGTCTCACAACCCGCAAATCCAAGGGCGTATAATCTTTAAACTCCACCTCCCCCTCATGGAAGATCCAAGGGGGCCCACTGAGGTCCACTGGAGTCCACTTGACTGGACAGTCTTACCTTTTTTCTACTTTTTTGTCTCAGCATCTGCGGCCTTGCCATCCGGGATCCAATCATTTCCCATCTCCCGTCACTCCCGCCTCCCTTTTTTTTTTTAGTAGCGTGGCAGTGTAATATATTCTGTACACTATGGTGGAGAGCATACGGAGATAGATAAAGTGGTGCCTCCCAGTCGTTCTTTCCCAAGGTTCTTACTATCTATCCACTTTCGTTTCCACTTTCCTCGCTCTCGACATTTGTATATTTAATAGGGTCGTTCCCTCACTTCCCGTTCTTCTCTTGTTTACATATTCACACTTCTCTTGACGCGTATCATAATCATACACAATGCCGTCTTTCATGAAGCTTGCTGCTGCGGCTCTCGCCGTGGCTGCCCCTCTCGTTTCGGCTCAGACTTACTCTGACTGCGATCCGTTGGAGAAAACATGCCCTGCGAACAAGGGTTCGACTGAGTCCAACCTTCACTTTGACTTCACCCAGGCTAGTGCCCTCGACCAGTGGAAGATCAGTGGCGGCAATGTTCCCACTGGCTCCAAGGGTGCCGAGTTCACTATCAACAAGGAAGGAGATGCTCCTACCCTCGTTAGCGACTTCTACTTCTTCTACGGCGAATTGTCCATTGAGATGCAGAGTTCTCCTGGCCAAGGAATTGTCAGCTCCGCCTTTTTGCAATCTGATGACAAGGATGAGGTTGACTGGGAAGCACTGGGCACAAAGTCCAACACCATTGAGACCAACTACTTCGGAAAGGGTGATACCTCCACCTATGACCGTGAGACTTGGGTCCCCGTCACCGCCCCTCAAGAGACTTTCCACACCTACACCATCAAGTGGACCAAGGAAACTATCAGCTGGTTGATCGATGGTGCCAATGTCCGCACTCTCAACTACAACGATGCTCAGGGTGGCGCTCGCTTCCCTCAGACCCCTATGAACATCCACGTTGGTATCTGGGCCGGTGGTGCTCCTACCAACGGCCAGGGTACCATTGACTGGGCTGGTGGTTTGACCGACTACTCCAAGGGTCCCTACTCCATGTACATCAAGAGCATCAATGTTAAGAACGACAACCCCGCCGAGTCCTACACTTGGTCCGATAAGTCTGGCTCCTCCGACAGCATCAAGTTCACCGGCTCCAACGCCGTGACCTCGCGCAGCACCACCACCGATGCTGCCACTAGCTCTTCTTCCGAGGCTGCCTCTTCAACCACTGAGTCTCCTTCCACCACCACCACTGTGTCTCCTTCCACCACCGAGAGCACTTCCAGCGCCGCCACCACTCTGGCTACCAAGACCTCCAGCTCCTCGTCTGCCGCGTCCACTGCCGAGTCCTCCGCTGGGTCCACTGCCGCCTCCAGCTCTGGTGCTGCCAGTGCTTCCAGCTCTGGTGCCTCCCCTAGCGGCTCTAGCAGCTCTGGCTCTGGTTCCAGCTCTAGCTCTGGTGCCTCCCCCAGCGGCTCTAGCAGCTCTGGCTCCGGCTCCGGCTCCGGCTCCACTTCCAGCTCCCCCTCGGGTTCTGGCTCGTCCACCAGTGCCAGCGCTAGCGCCAGCCCTAGCTTCAACGCAGCTGTCTCTGTCGCTGCCAGCTACTTGGGACCTGTCTCCCTCCTGGGTCTGGTGACCGCCATGCTCCAGCTGTAAATGTCCCTTTGAGCGCTATGATTTTTTGACGCATCATTAATGAAACGCGCCTCGAAAGAGGATACTTGGCTGGACCGGGTATGGTAATGGTTGATGGATGCGATTTTCTTTTTTTCTGGCTGTAACATTTTTCCCCCTTTTCGTTGTCCTTGGTGCTCCAGCCTGCAATCTGTTCTTTGGTTTGCCCGGATGTGTTGATTGGCATATTCCGGCAACATGGGCCTTTTTTTTTTGGGGCGGATAACATCATGTATCTATCAGCGTCATACATACCTTTGCCATCGAGCAAACATGCAATAATATCAAGTCAATTGACTCTATCGAGCACTTCAAATCTTTTCCAGTGTAGCCTACAATCTAAGATAACTTCACCGCTTGTTTCCTGTTGCTGTATGTCTCTTCGCTTCCATTCCCGTTGTATTCGTATACCCAAACCTTATCTTACATGCATTTTGGAATTCGCGTCGCATCCATATGGATCATATGCATATTGGTCTCTGTTTTCTGTGGCTTCGAGTAACATACACATCCACTATAATCCACCATCGGCCTCTCCGGACAAGAATACCAATAATACCGAGTATTTATAGCGAACCGCACCGGAAAATGTGTATACTGTGAACCATGGATCGAGAAGATTGAACTTGATTGTAAAGGGTCTGGGCTTGGATTGGTTGGTGATGAATTGTACACACTGAGATGTCTGTAGTGGGATTGGCTGACCGGGCGAGGATTGTATGGCCGAACCATGGATGACTAAAAGGGGTCGGATCCATATAGATCCACGGATATTCACTTGGCTTATTCTAGACTCTTTTACTATGTCGTACAGGAATGTATGGAGTACGATGTATTGTGGGTTTAATTTGGGTACATTGCACTCCGTATATTGTAGTACGATATCCTTCGTAAAATCAAAATGGAGAATGGTAAAATACTGTCGTGGCTCATTATTGCATCTAACTCATCTCATCTTCTCGGATAGAAACGCCCAAAGTCAAAAAAATATGTAGTCCAGACATCGACTCCCCAAACCAGACTGTAACTACGGCAACAGCTTAAAGCAACCCCTTCAATCTCAAAATTCAATCAACTCTCGGACCCTCATCAAAATCCGAGCTTCCCCTCAGCACCCCCAGCCCCCTGTGGAGACCTCAATTCACCAAGTGGACCCGGCCCCAGTCGCACGTCGCACATCCCTTAACTGGCGTGATAGCCGCAACACCGAGTCAGCAACGGGACGATGGTGCGTGGCCGCGACTCGGAGCAGGGCAAGAGTTGCCGCGGGCCGGGGTGTCGGTGTGGGTTCAGTGGATGCAGTGGAGGCCACGGCAGAAGATGACGACTCCGTCCCTGCAACAGGATTGCCATCTGCATCTCCTGACGATCGTCCCCGGAACAAATATGCCCCGAATGGTCCTAGCGGGAGCGAGTCGAGAACGGAATATAGTCGGTCGCTGCTGCTGTCATCAGACGAAGATCGGTACTTGTGGAATGTTGGGCTTCGCCGTTCTTCCCGTGCTACGATCCCATCTACCGCTTCGAGGTGGTCGTCTAGGGTTGTGAATCGTGTGTTGAGGGAGTCTGCTTTGCTGCGGATTTGCGAGCGCAGTCGGTCTAGGTACTCTTCGCGTCGTCGCATTTGGATCGCGAGTCGTGTGTCTAGAGCTGCTGTGCCGCTTATTTCGGTTGCTGGTCGCGAGGCGAGCAAGCTGTCAATTGCGGAGCGCAGGTCTGCGCGTAGAGAATCGAATTCCCAGACTGCTGTTTGAACGGCTTGGTTGCTCCCGGTGAATTCGAGGTCCAGCGCGTTGCGAGCGTCTGGGAAGGTTGATTTCAGTTGCGATTCTAGGTCGGAGAGCATGCTGTCGCTTTGTTTGAGGATTGCGGATAGAGGTGTGAGGGTTTCGAGCGCGGTGTCGAATATGGATTCCAGTTGGCGCTGGGAGGTTGCGAGGGTTTCTTCTGGGGATATTGCGGATGGGTGGTAGGCGCTGCGTGGTGGGTATGTCGCGGGGAAGGTGATGCAGCTGTTGGGATATAGAGTCTTGATGCTTGGGATATGGCAGAGATCTTTGGCTTGGTAGACTACCTCGGGGAGAACCAGCAGGTGCAGGATGATGGCGATCAAGACTGCGTTGATTGATTTGCGGACGAGGGCAGTATGGCCATGAAATATGGACTTGGATTTCACAACCAGGCCGGCTTGCTTGGTGGTGGTCGTTTCTGCAGATGAACCAGCGTCTGCATTTCCAGTTTTAGCGCCGGTCTGACCCTGCTCTCGCTGCTTTGCACCGTTCGGCGTGGAAACTTTGCGTCGTTTTCTCATGCTTTCTGAGCCTTGCTGCTTCGGACTCCGTACATATTCTACCCATGACCCCTCTAAATTAGGCGTTTCGCAGAGAGAGGGCATGATGAGCTCTGGGCCTGATATGGTCCATGATGATGACGATGAGGATGTCAGCGACTCTGATGCCGGGTCGGCTGTCTTTGTGGTCACTTTGCTGCTTTCATGCCGGGTATTTGGTGTTTTGGTGGGGTCTTCTTTTTCCTTCAGAGAAGCAGTTGATGCTATCACCCATGATTCGCCAAGAGCCGGGCGATCTTGGGTACGAGGCTGTTCTGTAGACATGGCGTAAACATTTCAGCAAGACATGCACTTTGTATAATCGTTGATATGTTCTGTAGTTAATATTTCACGACTCGGAGTGTTTCAACGAATGTTTTGAATGCGACTGGCTCAAGCAGACCGTTGCACGCGTAAAGCGGTGGGGAAGGAAGATCGGAGAAACCGCCGCGGCCGAGGAATTGAGAATCTTCAACCATGCGCTCACTGCTTCGACTGAGACCGTCTCTAACGCCTGGCGTTAAATCTCTGCCATGGCAATTTACACGATCGCGACCGCTGTCATACACAGTGATTCGCCATTGCTCGTGTTCTGACAAAACCGAAGCTCCAACCATACCTCCCACCGACCATCGAGCTATCGGAACCGCCCAAGAGCTCTTCACATCTTCAGTCTACAGTCCCGGATCTCCTCTGTTCCTCCCCAATGGCACACATGTTGTCAACAAACTCATCTCCTTCCTCCGCACCCAATATCTACAATATGGCTTCCGTGAAGTCTTAACCCCGACCATCTACAAAAAGTCGCTCTGGGAGATATCGGGCCACTGGCAGAACTACAAGGATGATATGTATGAGGTGACCGGTCGGGGGGCTAGTGGCGAGGCAGAGGGCGAAGTGGGTGAAGATGAGTCCTACGGACTGAAGCCAATGAACTGTCCCGGCCACTGCCTTCTCTTCAAGTCCCAGAATCACTCCTACCGCGACATGCCGGTGCGCTATGCAGACTTCAGTCCGCTGCACCGCAACGAAGTGTCAGGTTCGTTGACAGGCCTTACGCGCGTGCGCCGCTTTCATCAGGATGATGGGCACATATTCTGTCGCTCGCAGCAGATCAAGTCGGAGATCGCATCGGCACTGGGATTTGTGGACATGGCTATGAAAACCTTCGGACTCGGTCCGTATCGATTGGTCCTGTCGACTCGACCCGAGAAGGATTACATTGGGACTTTGGAGATGTGGGATAATGCCGAGATGCAATTGCGCGAGGCTCTTAATAGTACCGGGCGCAAATGGGCGCTGAATGAGGGCGATGGCGCATTTTACGGCCCCAAGATCGACATCCAGCTCCAGGACCAAGCTGGAAAGTACCACCAGCTGTCTACTATTCAATTGGACATGAACCTGCCACAACGATTTGAGCTGGAGTATCAAGTCGCAGAGGGTGAGCCAGACTACAATCCCGCCACGCCCGGAATTGCAACTCCAGTTATGATTCACCGCGCCATCTTCGGCTCATTGGAGCGGTTTTTGGCGTTGCTGATCGAACAGCACGGTGGCCATTGGCCATTCTGGCTTTCTCCACGCCAGGCCATTGTCCTGACGGTTAACCAAGACGACGCTGTTGTGCGCCAAGCTCAGGAAGCGGCAGCCAAGTTCGCTGGTTTCCGCGCATTGGTGAATGATGGTACCGCCGAGTCGCCCCGTCCACTGTCCTCTGTCGACTCTACCTTCTTGGTTGACGTCGACACAAGCGCACAGACCCTGGGCAAGAAGATTCAACGGGCCAAACAGATGAAGTATAACCTCATCTTCATTCTCGGATCACGGGACCTGGCCGATGGTGGCATCACTGTTGACGTTACTGGGCAGATGCTGAGCAAGACAGATAAAGATGCTCAGACATTGCAGGCGCTGATCAAAGCCAGACTAGGTAACGATGCGCTACAGAATCCCCGAGCTGTTAAGCTTAGTGTTGACGAGGTTCATCCGCTATTGGTCGAACTCGAGAAGAACTTTGTGTAACTTTGTATGTTGTATAACCATTGCGTGTTGCCATTTTGAGCGTGCTTGACTAGATTTTTACTCCTATTATTGTATACTATACCGATTTTTTTCCGAATTCGATTTCTCATTCTAAATGCACATCCATTTGCATATCCCTTAATTGAAACCAAACAATGCCTGCGGCTATCCGCGGAGTTGATGCCTCAGGCATAAATATCTCCGATGTTCGGGGTCCCCTATGGAGACGGGGACAGTAGATATTCGTCGCAAATAGCTGTAAAGTGAAGGTAAAGGGAACATAAATGATATAAATTGACACCAGCAAATCTGTCACCAGTATTTCAAGCTCAGCATCAAGTCAATTGCAGATCCTCGCGCCTTAACGCGACCAATGTATATATCACGTGACTCCGCTGTCGGCGCCGAAAAACTCGGCGTCATTGACGGGCCAATTTGAGTCACAGCATATTCCCCATTCTTAATTGGTCTTCTTTTCTTCTTTTGCTATAAAAGAATCCTCGTGTCCATATTTTGAAAGCCAGTTTTTGCTTTTAATCAAATCAATCTTGAGTCTGCTTGGCCTAGCTATAACCATATCCTACCTTTTATCGTCTCTTATCCACTTGCCCCCCGCGGTACCCCGCCAACATGCCGATGTATGTTGCGATGACTCTGACTCCGATTTGGTGTTTTCTATGGTTCTATATACTAATCTTTTAAAAGGCTCAAGGATCCCTCAAAAAAGTATAAGGCTTTTAAGCCGCTGAATCTGCCAAATCGCCAATGGCCCAACAAAATTATTGATAAGCCTCCTCGCTGGCTGGCAACCGATCTGCGTGATGGCAACCAGTCTCTGCCGGACCCAATGGTATGATATGATGGACTTTTCACTGCTGTTTCTCATATTGATTGGATTGGTGCTATAGGACGGCGAGCAAAAATACCGTTTCTTCAAGATGCTCGTGGATATCGGCTACAAGGAAATCGAAGTGTCCTTCCCGTCCGCATCCCAAACGGATTTCGACTTCACCCGCCGCCTGGTAGAAGAGCCCGGTCTCACCCCCGATGATGTCGCTCTGCAGGTCCTGGCGCCCTGTCGTGAGGATCTCATCCGTCGCACAGTCGATTCCCTGAAGGGCGCCAAGAAGGCTATCCTCCACATCTACCTCGCAACGAGCCCTTGTTTCCGTCGCATCATTTTCAACATGGACCACAAGCAGAGTCTGGAGATGGCTGTCAAATGCACAAAGTACGCCCGCTCCATCACCAAGGACGACCCCTCCCAGGCTGGCACAGATTGGCAATTCGAGTTCTCCCCCGAGACTTTCTCCGACACCGAGCCCGAGTTCGCTGTGGAGGTCTGCCAGGCTGTTAAGGCTGCTTGGGGGCCCACGGCGGAGAAGCCCATCATTTTCAACCTGCCCGCCACGGTAGAGATGGCCACCCCTAATGTCTTTGCTGATCAGATCGAGTACTTCTGCACAAACATGACTGAGCGCGAGAAATTCGTTGTTTCAGTCCACCCGCATAACGACCGTGGCTGCGCTGTTGCCGCAGCTGAACTGGCACAGATGGCTGGTGCCGAGCGTGTAGAGGGTACTCTGTTCGGTAACGGTGAGCGTACTGGAAACGTCGACCTGGTCACTCTCGCCCTGAACCTGTACACCCAAGGTGTCTCGCCAGGTGTCGACTTCTCGGACATCAACTCCGTCATTAAGGTGGTAGAGGAGAGCAACAAGATCCCCGTCAACGAGCGTGCGCCATATGGTGGTCAGCTCGTGGTGTGCGCATTCTCTGGAAGGTTTGTTTTCCTTTCTTTTTCCAAGTGCGTTGAAATATTTTTGCTAACCTGTTTTGAAATCCAGTCACCAAGATGCAATCAAGAAGGGGTTCAAGCTCCGCCAAGATGGCAAGGGTGCCGACGAGGATACCGAGTGGTCAGTCCCGTACCTGCCCCTGGACCCTCAAGATATCGGCCGTACCTACGAGGCAGTCATCCGCGTCAACTCCCAGAGTGGAAAGGGTGGCGCCGCCTGGATTATCCTGCGCAGCCTGGAGCTGGATCTCCCTCGCGCTCTGCAGGTCGAGTTCAGCAAGATCGTGCAGGAGAAGACCGAGTCTGTCAACCGCGAGCTGAAGCCTACCGAGATTGTCAATCTTTTCGAGGAGGCCTACCACCTCAAGTCAAACCCTCGCTTCACCCTTGTCGACTACAGCATCACCACCGACCGCTCGCAGTCCCCTGCTCCTCCCGAGCCCGGCAAGGCCCTCAACACCAAGAACCTCAAGCGTCGCTTCACCGGTATTATCGAGATCGACAACGTCCAGCACGCCATCACCGGTGTCGGCCCAGGTGCTATCTCCTCCCTGGCTACCGCGCTTTCTTCCCTCGGTATTGATCTCGACGTCCGCGACTACAAGGAACACTCCATTGGTCGCGGTCGTGATACCAAGGCTGCTACATACATTCAGTGCACAGCAGCCGGCAGCAAGCAAACGGTGTGGGGTGTTGGTATCCACCAGGATGTGGTCCAGGCCTCTCTGATTGCGCTGCTCAGCGCCGCCAGCTCGGTAAGATTTAATCTTTGAGATTCGTCTGCATTTCACCACTAACATGCGTTTAGTTCCTCGCCTCCCGCGCTGGCTCTCCTGCTCCTTTCCGTCCCATCCGCTCCAACACCCTCACCAACGAGGACATCCAGGCCCTCGAGCAGCTGGCTGGTACTCCTGAGGCTGCCACATCTAACGGCGGTCTGAGCGCCAAGGTCAACATCGAGCAGCTGACGAAGAAGGCTGAACAGATGTAAATAAAAGTTAAAGAAACCAGGATTAAAAGTGATAGCATTAATGTGAATACCATGATCAATTTGAATCAACCTTTTTTGTTCAACGATTACTTCTCAGATATAATATCGACTTGGCTGAATATAGTCGTAAAGATGAGGGTCATGATCATTGCCGCTATTTATGCATATCAACAGATATCTCCAACACATTTCAAGCCATAAAAGACCAGGGCCGTCGAAGTTCACCACCCAAACAACTCATCCAACCTCCATCCCCTCTTTGTACTGGCCCCGTAAGAATTGAACTTCTGCGGCCCCTCCGCCGAAATGATATACCCATGCTCACAAGACGAGAACGAAACCTTCGGCTGGTTCGCGTAGAAAGTATCAAAGCCGGAGTCCAGCGCATCGGCAAGACTATTCACTTTGCCGGCTGGGTGCAGCTGCCTCCAGGGGTATCGACAAGCATCGCCTTCGCAGGACTTGAGCACGAGCATCAGTGCGTCTAGCCGCGCTATAATTTGTGGTAGCTCGCGATTTGAAATCTTGTAGTTGGGGTGTTTGGCTGGATGTGTGCCTAGATTCACTGTTTGATGGGGGTCGCCCTATTTAAGAGTGTTAGGGCTTGTCTTTGGATATACTGTAGGACAGAAGGGGTTGGCTCACCTTCAGATCGAAGAATTCTTTCTCGTTTGTGCACCATACTGCATAGTATAGACTATAGTCATTGGCAACAAGTCGGATACCCTTGTATGTGTTTCTCTGGTAGCTGTTATGTGGCTGCTCGAGCTTGTCGCTGGCATATCCGTAGATTCCTTCTGGTACAGCCTATGTTCAACGTTAGCTGGTTGGTCTCGCGCCCTCTTGCTATGTGAATTACTCACCAGTCCCCAGTACTCAATGGCAACATGCTCGGTCCTATTGTCCGCCGTGCTGGCGGCAATGGTAGTAGGAATCTTCTTGCCATCTAATCCATCTCGAGTCGCCCCAGCTATGTTCAAAAAAGTGGGAGCTAGATCCGTATGAGAAGTGATAGCATCCAGGGTCTGATTCTTGCCAATACCAGGTCCTCGGACAATGAGAGGAACGTTGATATCGGTTTCTATAAGAGTTAGCATCTACACCCTGGACAATAAAGATCAAACTCACCATAACCACAGTTCTTGCCAGGCTGCAATCGATGCTGACCAAGATGATACCCATTATCAGTCGAAAAGAAGATATACGTATTATCCAGTTCCCCGATTTTCTCCAACTTCTCAATAAGCTTCCCAATCATCTCATCAACAGCCTGCAAAGCCCGCAGTCGACACCGCTGGAACTCATCAATATAATCAATATGCGTCTGATTCAACTCAGGCACATTCTGCACCCAGCTAACGGCATTTTCAATCAGCGTATTAAAGCTCTCATCGCGCGGCGCCCGCACATCCTTAAATAAATCCGCATGTCGCGGCGCAAACTCCGGCTCACCGAACCAGTTCGCGTTCCGCGTGGAATCATGAGACCCATTCGAGTGCGGTGCGTTCGGCGCTACTGTCAGCATCCACGGCTGCTCGTGCTTAACTGCCTCGTCGATGAATCCCTCTGCTTTTTCGGCGATAACGTCTGTCGAGTATTGCCCGTCGTACTTGACTGGCGCTGCTCCGTTGCGCGTCATCCGTGCGTACCAGTATCGGTATGTGTACGGATCTAGCAGGAAGTCCGAGCCGTTGAACCCTCGTACGTAGGGATCGTTGTAGTTGTCTTCTGTGTGCGCGTTCCACATCTTGCCCACGTAGTACGTGTTGTAGCCTGCTTCTTGCATCCATAGTGGGAGGTAGTTGTCGTTCCAGCCGGCTGAGACTACTTTTGGATAGCCGCCGTAGGGGAGTCCGACGTCTGTTACGTTGGTGTTGTGTGGCATGCGGCCGGTCCAGAGGTTGGCTCGGGAGGGGCAGCATAGTGCGATTGAGCAGAAGTGTTTGGAGTAGCTTGTTCCTTGTTGAACGAGGGTTTCCTTGTTAGAGTGTTAGATTGAGGGCGGATTGGAGAAAGTAGGGCTTGAAGGAATAAGAATAGACTCACCTGCAGCTTGGGCATGTGCTCTAAACCGCCCACATATTTACCCTGATCGTCCGTTAGAACGAAAAGAATATTAGGCTGCTTGGCAACAGCCAGAGTTGTCAATAGTAGCAATCTCAGTAAGTTCATGGCTGCGAAATTGATGTTATTTGCTCGGCTTAGGAACTGAGAGCAATTATATACCTCGGTTTAGTTCTTTAGCTTCTCCAAGCCCTGCGTCATGGGAAGAGACCGAGGAGCTGTTGTGTGATTTCTCCATAGAATTGCATGTAATCGATCATCCGAATAGACATTGTAATGCTGTACAACGTACATGATCGACATGTCGGTGATAGGTGGGAAGTTATGGGGGAAGTCGATCAGTGGGAGTACAATACAATAGACAACACTACAACATACAGACGTGGAGTATAAAAAAGATCGGCGATTGCGAGCTTGTGGACGTCGATGGTGTTAGGGTGGGTCATGCCTTTTAGTCCAGTTCATATAATAATGATCAACCAAATAAAAAAGAAGTAATCTACAACATTCGAGCGAAGAAAAGATATACTGAGTATGTACAAATTGCAATCGTAGAGCTAAGGTATTGGGGATAAACCGGATAAAGAACACGCAATGCAAGGAGGGAAAAAAAAAGATCGGAACTATCAAGCAAACACGCCCCGGCCTTTTCAGAACAAATCATCTTATATCTGTACGATGTATGCGCTCAATCCAAGTTCAAGCCTCGTAGTTGCCGAGTGGGCGGTGCATCATTGTTGCTGCCCGTGCGATGTAAGTCATGTCCGTCTTCTCCACCTAGTGCCGACTGGTACATGAGAGCTTCTTGGGGCCAATCATCGATCCTCCCGCTGTCCTGTGTGCCTGGACGTGCTGGCTCAGCATGGGCTGTGCCAATAGTCTGGCCGCTGTTGTGGTTCCATCCCTGATGGCTAGGAAGTGGCTCTCCCATCGAGGGCTGTTCACCGCCAGGATATCCATAAGATTGAGACTGGCCGGGTGTGTCGGCCATATCAAAACTGAATCGGAAATCACGGTCCGCGTTGGAGGTACTCGCGGTGGAATCCAATGTGTCGTAGTGCCGATCGTCAAACTCGGTTACGATCGTGGCGGACTGTGGCTCCTTGATGTGCGGCACAGCGGGGTTAGGCTTCGGGACAGGAGTGGCAGCCACACTATTGTCAGTGGCACTTCCAAGTTCATGCGGCATAGACCCAGCTCGGTCGCTGTGATAACTACCCGCGGGATGACTGGTCTCTACCAGTGTCACCCCAGCTGGAGAGCGAGGGACACCCGCGTCAATATCCGGATTCAATGTAGACTGTCGGATGCTGGTGCCCACGGTGCTTCCAGGCTTGGAAATTCTGCTCATACGATGCTGAGGCATGTCCGCAAATGGGCTATCGCCCTCCAGGTCGCGAATGCTGAACTGAGCAATGGTTCGCAGCTTCCGGGTCACCCATGAGGCGAGTACCTTTCCGCGCTGCTTCTCGCCCAAACGAGAGCGGGGGAAGTCGCCGTGGGAGACGAATGCGACAATATCCGCAACAACCTGGTGCTCCATGAGAATAGCATCAACAATGACGGGAACAAGGGCGGCTAGATAGGCCTTTCGGGTAACCTCAACAACGACAACAACCAAGCCACCGGCTTGGAAAATAGCACTGAAAATGTCATGTTAGCCTCTATGTCTGATCCGAGAAGAACATCATTTACTTACCATCCTCCATTCACAATGTTGCGGTGGCAACTCTCTACCGAGTTTTCAATGTCCATAGGGAAGTGGTTGAGTCCATTGACCTCGAAGGTCTCCCCGATGCTGCCAAGGAGGAAGAGTACTTGCATATCAACTGGCTGTCCGCCAGGACCAATCGGCCGAGTAACGGTGTGAAGGAAACCAAGATCACCAGTACGGACATAAGGCACGCTGGGATCGCCATCCGCAACTCTGCCGTTCAACCGCTCCGAGTCAAATTCTTGCTTTGATTTGTAGAATCCCTGAGCGCAAGCGTCGGACTGTACCCAGATCTCACCGTACTCTCCAACGTGCGCGAGAGTGCAGGTCTCGGGGTTCACAATCGCAATCTGTGTGTTGACTGGTACCATACCCGAATCCTGCAGCAAAAGCGCGGTGGGGTCGGCATCGGGGTCTACGGGGTAGATAAGACCTTGACGGAGGCTTCGCAGGTCGAGCCATAGCTCGATCGGCTCAATGCACATATAGGATCGCGTGGTAACCATCGGGTTGAGAACGTGCGAGTAAATGACGTTGATCGAGGTACGATCCAAGCTGGCGTTGGCGAAATGTAGGCGTACCTTTCCATCTGTATAATCGGATTAGCTTCTCTTCATGGCTGTGATGGCGATGACACGTACAGATATCCGTTCTAGGTCGGCCCTCTGCGGAAATCATGAGGTTCTTCAGTTCTTGAAGCTGGAAGCCTTTTCCAGCCATAGCACTCATCGCGTAGTCCAACATCTGACTGGTGGCGTAAGTGTCCTTGATCTTGTATCGCGCAAGTGTTACGAAGAGAGTCATTGGATTTTGAGCGAAGTCGACTGGCGAAACAAGATATGTAGGCGCACCTGGGATAATATGTTAGGATGGGGATCATCATAGATTCATAGCAAACTTACCGACGAAAATGCCCATCAGACAGGTGTGGAGGAATCCGAGACCCAAGGTACTTCGGACGCTTCCAAGCACTGGCCTCGAGCTTGTCATTTGGCAGGTTTCTTTTTGAACCTTGCACATGCCCATGATGGTTTCATGAGAAATTTGGACCGAGATTCTTCGCTGATCTGGGGTCCAATAAGTCCAGACCATAGCAGGCTGGTTTCCCTGGAGCCAAGTATCCTTCACAGTGTAGCCGAGCTCGCGACATCCGTGGGACTGCTTCGAGGGCTTTGTGGTATTGTAAATAGCAGGAACGCCGATGCGAAGAACTTGGGCCGACTGCTTGATATGCTGAGACACAAGCTTCTGCCTCATGACATGGTCAACCTCGGTATTGACGATGATGGCCTTGACGTTGAAGTCGCTGATGATGTGCAAGAATGCAGGGGCGTCCTCCGAAAGACGGTTTTGATCGATAGGAGCCATCGGGATGACAACGGCACCTAAGCACAGACAAGCATGAATGGCATACACGTACTCCTCCGAGTGGGTGTACATCAGCACGAGATGATCTCCTGGTCGCACCTTCACCTTGTTCTTGAGGTAAGTCGCCACTGCAGAGACTTTTAGGTCAAACTTCTTCCAGGTGACGCCCTTTCCTTCCTTTCCACGGCCATCGATAGAGCAGTAGGCCAGTTCTTCGGCTTGGCGGGAGACTCTCCATTGAAGAAGGTCGACAATTGTGTTAAAGTTGTTCAATGGAGTGGAAGTTCGGTCATCCATCACCACATCGCGATAATCTACACCCGAGTATTGCTTTTCCTGATAGGCAAGCAAGTCTTGTCTTGATGCCAGAGCAGTAGGGGACCAAATTCCACCCTCGGGGTCAACACCGACGGGCAGATTCATCACTGATCGTTCAACTCCAAACTTGACATGCACCGCTTGCAGCATACCGGACTCGAAATCTTTGCGACAGAGCATGTTACCAATTTCTTGTCTGCCGTTCTTGGTGACGCGCGGCAGACTGTTCGGGGCTGTAAGTAGAACACAATACACCCGCAGATGATGCTCTTGGTACAATACCTCCATACACCTGTCGGCCAGCGAATCAAGGAGAACCGAGTCGAGTTGCCTTGGTGGACCGCCAGAAGTTGTTGGCGCCGTCGAGGCCGAGTAAGACTCCAAAATAATAACCGGAAGATGTTCTTCATTGACAAACACATCAAACGCAGTACAATCATGAATCTTTGGCACCTTCTTGAGAATGCTAACAGTTAAATGTTGAACAAAGAAGTATCGATGTTCGACAATCTCTTGGCCGTGCTCAACCCACTCGACCTTTTGACGGAGACGATCCTCGTAGAGACCAAGCACGAACAGTCTGCCCTCAATCACACATCCGAGCAGACCAGTGCGCAAGAACTCAGGCTCCACAAGTATTGGGGTCGGGTTAGGCTCTTCGAATTTGTAGGGACGAGCGTGGAATATGGCCTCCGTGTGTTTCGGCAATGCCCAGAAGCCACCAGAAAGAGATGGTGAATCAACCCAAATCTCTCCAACAACATTCGGCGTACAGAGGAGATTGGTCTCCGGATCAACGACGGCGAGAGTTGCGTCGGGAATTGGATAGCCAAAAGCGCCAACGCGTACAGCATGCGGCATACTGCTGGCATACTTTCGTGCATCCTCGCCCATGGCTAGCACAACCACTTCATTGCTCTTCAAGGCCTCTTTGTCTAAAAGGACTTCACTTAACTCGTTCTTGGGGCTCTGCTTGATCGTAGAAACTCGTGATCCACCACCCAGAAGACTGCTTCCGAAGCCAGTTTTAGTCTCAGACTTGGTAAGGCTCTCATCTTCTTTCTTAGAATCGTCACGGCCGGCTGGGTCCATTTCATGGGTCAAAGCACATCCCATTCGCTCTTCACCACCGAGCCAATCACGCATACTAACGACCATACCTCCATGTTCTGGCAAGCAGAGCATTGGAGCCACAATTTCTCTAGCCCGTGGGTTCCTCATTGGACGAAGCCATCTGTCTGCCAGGATTTCATGGAACTCAGGGTCGAGAGTAAGAGTATCAATGAGACATATTTTGACGCTGCTGAAATTAGGCTCCGAGTTCTTCTTGAAATGTCTTGTCGACATCGGATCTTGCTGGTAGTTGTAGGTGGCGATCTTCAAGCCAGAGTAATCGGTCGCCATGACTGATGCCTTGTACTTGGTGATGAGATGGGCATATAAACCGGGTGTTTCTACCGCTCGGTCCTCGTGCCAAACGGTTGTGTGGCCACCATAAACGGTGAAGAGAATAGCCATGATCATACCAATTCCTTGTCTCGGATCGAGGTAACTGATGATAGTCTCTCCCTTAGTGCCATACTGTCTGGCGTTTGACTCCGCAGGAACCGTAGAAATGATCGCACTCAGACATGCCATTTGGTGCATGATAGTCCGGTGGCTCATCACAACACCGCGCATATCACCCGTCGGGGCCTTCGCAAACTCAATATAGGCCAGATCAGGGACCTGCAGCGCAGGCGTATCATCCTTCTTCTTTGGATGGAAACTGCCGAACTCATTCGTCTTCCACCACTCAACTCCTCGTGGCCAACTGAGCTTTTGCGCTGTGATATCGCGTTGGAAGTTCTTCAAGTTGTTCTCGGTTGTCAAAGCCAGATGTGCCTGGGTTGAGGTGAGTACGAGATTTAGACTCGTGTAGTCATCCAGACTGTTGATAGGCACGGCGACAACTCCTGCAATAAAGCAGCCTAAGAGCGCGACAGCGAACTCGATAATCTCAGCTTCGCGGTAGATGAGAGCGACGCGATCTCCGCGATATAGATTACTCTTATCACGAATGACTTGAGCAACTTTCTCTGCGCGGCTAGACAACTTTTCCCACGTTATCGATGCAACCTCCTTGCCCTTTGCATCCAGCACCCAGTATGCTGCCTGCTTGGGGTGAGCGCGAGCACGATGCCGTAAGACCGTGGGAAGGTTGTCAAAGTTGGACATAGGGACATTTTTGTCGTGCGGATCGTTCAATGCGAAAGGAATCTCCCGAGGTTCGAGGGGAAGTAGATGCTCAATAGCCGGTCCATGCTGAAGTTCCGCCGCGGTGGGCATCAATGGCGGGGCCATATTTGCTGTTGGCGAAAACGCTTCCCCGGACTGAGAATAGCGGTGGAAGCCACCTCCATAGCTATCCCTATAATCATCATGCTGTTGACCCGCAAAGTCGGAAAAGTAGCCTTGTTGGGAATCAAGCATTGTTGACTGTCGCGTGGGTCCTCCAGATGCTGCATCGAAATGTGCCACGCCGTCGTCCACGTACTCAGGTTGAGCGTGTTCAGCGGGGGCATACTCTTGCGGATATTCCTGAGCGTACTCCTGAGCGTACTCGGGCTGAGACATATACTCGGGCTGAGAATTCGGGTTGAACGCGTAGTTCTGGCTCATTAAAGTTGCCGTTCTGGAGCCATCCTGGCCTTGTGACCCTGGAATCGGGGGTCTTGGAAGGAATAGGGAGTCGTAAGAGCTCCCTGAAGGCGCGCGATCATGGGCTTGGAGCATGCCTTCTCTGCTATGAGATCCTAGCGATGCCTGCGACTGATCCTGTGTATGTATACCAGCACCTTGACTATATCCGACGCCTCCGCTGGCCTGTGAGCCATTGTAACTCTCTGCGTAAATGGGGGACGCGATATGTGGCAGGGAAGATTCGGCAGTTGGTGGGCGAACGCTCAAAATGGCCGGTGGGGCCCTTCCAGGGCTGGTTGGGGATGCATCGTAACCAAGACTGGTCTGTGGATTGATCTCAAGGGGCTTGTTGGGACCGAAATATTGCGAAAGCAGGACCGTACGTCGCTTCTGGTATCTTGTTGCTGTTAGTTCTCTTATGCATCTGCTGGTCCAAAAAGCCCCCGTCGAATGAACCGTATCTATGACAAGGAACAATTGGCTTGTAATATTGCTTGTGACCAGGGATGGCTTACCCTTTCTCGGTGATATCGCCCTCCTGTCATGGATCATGCATAAGCAAATGGATACAACAAGTGCACGGAATGTACATACCTCCAATTCCCGATCTAGGTTCCGCAAAGCGGCCTGTAACTCGGGAGACTCTTCCGCCATTTGGACGGAGGGTCGGAAAGCCTCAATTCGGGGAAACGTATCAAAAGCGCGGGGGAGGGATGGGGAGCACGGAGTCAAGAACACCTCATCGCTATGAGCGTCTCGAAGGCGCAGGGGGAGGGGTGGCGGGTTTGCCAAGTGCAGCCCTAATAGCCGCAGATTGTATTTACCGGGGTTAAGTCGAACGACAGTCAATCAGTCGTGTCTCTGGTCTCCGCGCAAGACACCCGCAACGTCACCCGCTAAGGCGGTCAAGCGAGCCGAGAGCCTGAGACATGCGATGGAGAGACTATACCTCCAGATATGGTTGTCTCAGCTATATATAGAAAATGAAGAGAGCATTCTACATCTATACCATGAAAGTCTACTGCATCAAGTTCCGATGAAAATTGTGGCTGCTCAGGTACTGTCTGATTTGGTGTATCGCGTGTCCCGGTCCAGCCTCGGAACTACTGGGAATGAGACACCAATTTACACCAATTTGGGACTAGGTTTGTGTATTTAGATGGAGAATTTCGTCCTGGATTGCACAGATATAAGACTGATATTGAATCAAAGCCTAAGAGTATTCGGTAGAATCAGTAGACAAGCAATGTGATCAATAGAAGGCCGGGAATATTTGGTTTTCCCCGGTGTCGAGTGCTGATCACCATAAAGTTTGATTCCTCAGGCAGCAAGTCGGTAAGGCAACAAGGCATAAACCAGGTGATATCCACTCTCGGCCTACCCTAATCACATGACCCCCGCACAACCTAAGCGAGTCACACCAATTTCTTTCTTGGATACCCGGAACCTCATCGACGTTCAACCACCAAACGACAACCCGGTCATTTTCCCACGAACCCCTCCCGCACAGTCAACATGTCCGACAACGGGGACGTCGAGGTCGCCGCCTTCCCTGTCCTGCCCAAGGAGGTTCTGGCCGAGCAGGGCAGCATCAAGCTGTTCAACAAGTGGAGCTACGATGATGTCGAGATCCGTGATATTTCCCTGACGTGAGTCTTTCTATCAGGTCCTCTATGCGCCGAGTGAATTCCTGTTGTGTGCGAGAAAAAACGAGTCGAATTGGTGGAATGGCAAGACTTTTCGACAACTTGAAGGGGGATATCGAAATTCTTTATCGGAGGAAACACAACACGCTATGGGACTGGTTTTCTCTTCGCACACAGCAGGGAATCAACAGCGCACACAAGGACCGGCAATTGCGCGACTATCAGGTTTACAGAGGTGCTGACCCGACATCACAGCGACTACATCCAGATCCGCTCCCCCGTCTACATCTCCCACTCTGCCGGTCGCTATGCCGCCAAGCGTTTCCGCAAGGCTCAGTGCCCCATCATCGAGCGTCTCACCAACTCCCTCATGATGAACGGCCGCAACAACGGAAAGAAGCTCCTGGCTGTGCGCATCGTCGCTCACGCTTTCGAGATCGTATGTGCCACTCCGACCGATTCGACCATCCAACTATCCAATTCAGACACTAATCTTCAATTCCGCAGGTCCACATCATGACCGACCAGAACCCTCTCCAGGTCGCCGTTGACGCCATTGTCAACTGCGGTCCCCGTGAGGACTCCACCCGTATCGGTAGCCAGGGTACCGTCCGTCGCCAGGGTATGTGAAAACGTTTTAATCTCGCCACTGATATCAAATACTAATTTCCTTCCAGCCGTCGATGTGTCTCCCCTCCGTCGCGTGAACCAGTCCATCTCTCTGCTCACCATCGGTGCTCGCGAGGCCTCTTTCCGCAACATCAAGAGCATTGCTGAGTGCCTTGCTGAGGAGCTGATCAACGCCGCCAAGGGTTCTTCCAACTCCTACGCTATCAAGAAGAAGGACGAGCTCGAGCGTGTTGCCAAGAGCAACCGGTAAAGGGGTTGTGTTGGATTTGTTCTCCGTTTGGTCCTCTGTTTGCGTATACTGGAGTGGACGGGGTTTTAACCGGGATTCAGTGGATTCGCATGCATCTGCAAGGCTGTACATAATGTGATACAGTCAAGGAGGAAGCACGATCTTAAAAGGGAACGCATTCGGACGGCTTTCTTTGTAGTTGTGATGCGATCATGAAGACCTCGGGTCGTAAAGACCTATTTCCTAAAAAGAAAAAATTTCTTTTATTCTCGTTTTTGAATGGATCTAGCTCTATAGATTGTAGAATAATATATGATCAAAATGATCGAATGTCTAATGTTTACTTATTTGATAGTTCTAGCCAAATCAGATACCTACATTATGTATGTAGACATTGCCAAGGTTGAGATTTTCCATCGCTTATCGATACGGAGAATACGGAGAAAAAAAAAGTTTCGGACCTCCAACATACCCTTTCCCAACCACCACATTCTTATTTCAAAACACCTTCAAAATGGTGAAAAGAAAGCTTGGTGCCTTGGAAAAGGTCGAGGCTGACCTGTATGTACATCTTGTCTGAGCCGATGCGCCCTTGATCAATCGATCAGAGGCTTCAGTCCGTGATGCTAACATCATTTCTTTGCGATTCGCAGGCCCAATTTGCAGCACAAGATTCGCAGGGATCCCAAGTAAGTTAACCGCAGAGATTTTCTATGATCTAATGCACTCGATCGGGGGCTAATTGTCGCTTTGCGCTATTCAGGTCTTATATCGAAGATTTCCGCGCCCAACACTACCAATATGAATCCCATCGTGAGATTTTCATGGCGGCGCCCTCTTCCGCTACCGATACCGGCGTGATTTCTCTTCGGGATCTCATTGACTTCATTTCCCATGTGGCCGACTGTTACCCGGGGATCTGTAAGGACTTCCCGCAACAGCTCATTGACATGCTCATGCAGCACCACTTGGTGTTGGAGACAGAGTTGCGGGAGAAGTTGGTTGGAAGTTTGGTGCTCTTGAAGAAAAAGGATCTTATGGATTCAGCAACGTACGAAAGCCCACTCTCATTACTTCCCTACTATTGATTCTAATCGCTACTCTAGGCTACTTCACACTATCTTCCCCATCCTCGTTTCTACACCTAGCAAGACCCTGCGAGCTCTGCTCTTCCAGAAGATTCTCTCTGAGCTGCGAACCGCAAATGCAAAGACCACTAATCACAAGCTGAACCGAACTATGCAAACCGTTCTATTCAACTTGGTCACATCAGACCGCACATCGGCCAAAGGCCTGTGGGCGATCAAGATCACCCGAGAGCTATGGAAGCGCCAAATCTGGACCGAGGCTAAGGCCGTTGAAATCATGAAGGAGGCAGCCTTGTCACAAAATGAGAAGGTCATCATCGGTGGAGTCCGGTTCTTCCTTGGTGGCGATAAGGAGCGCGAGGAATTGGAGGACGAAGACAGTGACGAAGAAGTCAGTGTTGGCCAGGTCAAGCACCAACTTACCATCAACAAGAAGACCAGAAAGAAGGCCCGTGTCGCCGAAAAGGCCATCAAAGCGGTCAGGAACAAGGAGCGCAAGAAGGGCAACCCTAATCCCCTCAACTTCTCCGCGCTTCATTTGCTGCACGATCCCCAGGGATTCGCGGATAACATGTTCTTCAAGCACCTCCAGAACAGCAAGTCTAAGTTGAAGCTGGAGCAAAAGCTCCAAGTTCTACAGCTGGTCTCCCGCCTGGTCGGCTTGCACAAGTTGCACATCATGCCGCTCTACTCTTACTTCCAAAAGTACCTTACGCCCCGCCAACCTTCTGTGACTTCATTCCTGGCATCCCTGGCCCAAGCCTCCCACGACTTGGTGCCCCCCGATGTTCTCGAGCCTCTGGTTCAGAAGATTGCAAATGAGTTTGTGTCCGAAGCATCTGCCGGTGAAGTTGCGACGGCTGGTCTGAATGCCATCCGTGAAATTTGTGCCAGACAGCCTTTGGCTATTGAAGAGACCCTGTTGCAGGATCTTGTCATGTACAAGAAGAGTAAGGATAAGGGTGTCATGATGGCCTCGAAGGGTCTCCTCAGTCTTTACCGTGATGTTGGTGCGCAGATGCTGAAGAAGCGTGACCGTGGCAAGGAGGCCGCAATGAGTCTGCGCGCTGGCGACAGACAAGAGAGACGTTACGGTGAGCAGGCGGCCGGCGAAATTGAGGGCCTGGAACTCTTGGCCAAGTGGAAAGACGAGGAGCGCCGCAAGAGGAACATCGAGAATGGTCTTCCATCTGATGCTGAAGATAACGAAGAGGAGAAGGATGAAGCCGACTGGGCAGCCTGGAACGTCGAAGATGACGAGGACAGTGATATCGATGGAGAATGGATCAATGTGGAGGAAGATGTTGATATTGTACTGAGCGACTCCGAGGATGAAGGCAAGCCGGCATCAAAGAAGGCCAAACAGGAAGATGAGGCCAAGAAGGATACCGAGAAAGAAGTGGAAGCCGACAAAGTCATTGATTTCATGAAACTGGCCACCACCCGTATCCTCACGCCTGCCGATCTCGCCAAACTTACGGAGCTTCGCGCCCAGGCAGCAGCTGATGCCACTCTTCCGGGTAACAAGGGCCGCGTCGCTGCCCCATGGACCAACCGCCATACCGATGACGCATTGACCGCTGGTGAGATTGAGGGTCTTGCTGCTCTATCTGCCGCCAGGGCCACTCGTGAGGAACGTATTGCCCACGCCAAGGAGGGCAAGACCGATCATATGAGCAAGGAGGCTCGTCGCAAGGAACGCAAGGAGGAGGCAGGAAAGAGTTCTACCAACAAGGAGAAGGCTCGCAAGAAGAATTTCCTCATGACGCTGGGTAAGGCGCGCAGCAAGAACAAGAGAAGTTTGGTGGAGACCCGGGCTGTGCTTCGGGCTCATGTCGATCGTGGCAAGAGAGGTGGACGCAGAGGAAACGTTGGCCAGTGATAGGCCTTTTATGTCCTTTTTTTAAAAAAATAATGATTGTTTGTTATATACAGTACATTACTTTTGTCATTGCCAGTCGCAGGATAGACTATAAAGAGCATATACTACCCTCAGCTATGACGGCCCATGGTTTTACTCCATTCGAATCCTATCAGTTATTATAGTGGAAAACATTACAATATACGTAGAAATGGCTTAGATATTCTATAAGTATAAATAATAAAGTCTACTAATTAAACCTAGCAGATTGGTTCCAGGACGCAATATGAGTGGGGGGGTAATATGCGTTGATCAACGCGTACCGCGTAAAGTGGCGTCCCGTTGCCTCAGCAGCCTCCATTTTCCATTTTCCATTTTTCTTCCCTTTTACACTCCACTACGTCACTCCCTCGTGGGCAATTTGAGCATACTACACTAAAAGGTTGAAATCCCATACCCTCTTTCTATTCAAAGACATCTCCCTGTGTCACCAAAACCCCTTTTCCAAAATGCCCTCCATCAACCGCCCGATGCCACCCAGCAACAGCGACTTGTCGAAGCGCCGACGCTTCCAACCTCCTATCACAACCTTCTTCACATCTGCCTCAGAACCAGTGTCTTCAGATACACCTGCAGTATCGCACCACCATCATTACGCCGCGGAAACCTTCTCTGCCCACCCCGTTGTGCCTGCCAAAGTTCAGTCCTCTCTTCTGTCTGTCGGAATGCGGGTCCGGAAATCTGTGGCAGATGGATATAGAACCCACATGTCCAAGACAGAAGAAAAGACCCCACTCCCTACAGCTGTCGCTCAGACCCCTCACGCTCAACCCTACAATGGCAGCAGACCCTCTGAGCTGCCACCGTTTTCTGGCGCTGGTAAATCCTCCTTCAGCCACGATGACTACCTCGTTACCGACGATGGCGACGCATACTCGATCCCTCCAAGCAGCCAAGACTCGGCTGTGTCATTTGCCTTGGGCGGTCAAAAGCGGGCTTTGGAATTAGATGGTGATATCCTCGTCGACGAGGATGCCGATGAATCATTCAACAATTTCGGCGGATCATGGAAGGAGAACACCCGAACCATCCTGTCCCCGAATTTGGGCCAAAGTCGCCGTATTCTTGCTGTGCGTCACAGCAAGATTGAACAGCCCACTATGGACATGGATGATTTTGAGGAAGCTACGTTCCTCCGCCGCCGTGAGGAAGTTGATGAAGAGGATGTGCGGATGTACGGTGCTTAAACTGATGGTTCTCGCTTCTCGTTTTCCTTCCCCTTACGAGCCACTACATATCTTCTTGCTTGTCCTCGGGCCTGGAACCGGCTTGGTCTCTTTTCCCAGACTTGTATTATACCCACTTTTGTTCCATTTTGTACCATCTTGTCTTGTATCATTATCTTTTCCTATCTGCAGAGCAGTGAATGTGACTTATTAAGGCTATTAGTTTATACATTTAGATCCTACTATTAATTAGGCTTGTAGTGAACTCCAGGGCCTACTCCAACAGAGAATGTGGATGTTATGCTTTACCTCCAGGGACTGAGCACTTGAAAAGTAATCAGTGTAATTGATATCAGGCATTACCTGGGCCAGTATGAAGTCGCACTCAGATTGGATTAATAAGACACGACAATAACCTTGGAATCAACCAGGTAATGAGACACACTTGTATACAAAGGAAGAGTCACCAACCTAGCAATCTTGCCCAGTATACCCGAATCTTCAAAAATCTTGGAAGTCGGATAGGAGAATCATTATCTGATAGTACCAAAACAGTCTTCTTTGTGCGAGTACGATAGTTATCACCTTTAGAAACGGTAATGATATCCTTCAAGGAAGCGCCGAAATTAGCATCAACGTCCTCAAATTGTCCCAAGTCAATATCTGGATATTCTTGCGTGTCTTGCTTGGGAGGGTCATGATTTATACGATATCGAACGAGAGGAGTTATCCAAGTGTCGCTGGAAGCCATTGGTTTCAGTGTATAGGTGTTTTAGCGATGTAAAAGCGTGAGAACAGAGAAGGAAGGTACGACTCAATATATACTTCCGTATATGTACTAGTAGCTACTTGACTTTCCATTTCAGTTTTAGTTTTCATTACCGTTTTTGGCATGGAGTATGTGAAATATATTATCTCCTGGTCCATGGTTTATATATACCTAGATAGGGCTTCATCTTCATTCCAAGGTTATGTAGTTAATTGACTGAATACATAGTTTACTGTACAGAAGTAGTATTAGCTGCCAAGATATATCTATTAACGCTAGTTATATATGGTTACATACTGATGATGTTACGGAGATGTATCCGATTTTTGTGATGTTCCTTCAACTTTACATACGTGGAGTGGAGCCTATACATATATGTCTAAGAACAACACATTTAGCAAAATACTTACTTTGCATGCGTCCAATTTGAAGCTCATGGCCCGGAAATTCCTTATTAGCAGACCGAACCAAACCCCGCCTAGGCCATCGTCATTGCATCTGAATGATACTGAGAACAGAGGCAGAGGCTTCCCAAAAGGGAGAACAATATATGATTGGCCAGAATTTGAATTGCGGACCCACCTAGGCACCATTCAGGCGATGTGGGCTCTGATTGGTGGAGATGATTAAGTTATCTGTGAGGCTCGCGCCATCTGGGGCCGCTAGTCCCAAAGAAGACACCAATATCAGATTGGCCAGAGGGTGCGGTGAGCTGCCCCAGGTTGCTGTGGTATGGCCCCAAGAGAATATATACAAGGAAATAAAAGGCCACCCCTTAGAGAAACACCGTTTCTCCCTCCTACTTATTACATCGTGTGGTCAAATCCCCGAATTCACGGCTTTCGTCCATTTCCAGCTGTTCCATTCGTGGTGTAGTTGCTGGTAAATGGTGAGGCTGACCACAGCAGCTATGGCAATGTCGGAAATGGAGAAGGGACCCGACAATTTCATGTTAACCAGTGCATACGCCTTGGAGATGTGGTGCAGAATTTGGGACGATATTGCTGATTTCCGCCGGAAAAAGTCAACGTAAGACGCGGATATAGCCAAAGTGTCATGGAAATCTACATTCCCGGTGATCAAAGGTGTTGCATAATCCGACTGGCAATGATTTTACTTACATGCTTTATCTGCTAGGATGCAGTTGACCCAGAACTATTATGCGAGCAATATAAAAACTGTAGCCGACTATAGTTTTTAGATAACGGTTTCTATAAGCCGTGAGACTTTTCCTTAGTGGTGTTACGCACTCCCAACTGGTCACAGTTAGGTTAGAAGGGTTCCAGGTTGGACCTGAGGGTAAAGCACGATGACTTGTGGTTCCAAAGAGGATTCTCCATACTCAAGAGTTCGCAGTAGATTCCTAAGTCATTCACGACTACTTGTTGGCCTGAGGATAGGGGAAACTAGATAGCCCATGTAGTCAGCTTATTGCGTGCGTAATTCAACCGTGGTGGAGACAAAGCGACTTCTAGATGTATGAAAAAGCCTGTACATGAATTAATGAGAAGCTCTCGTGAAGGTTTGAGAAGGCCTCGTTCCCCGAAGCTAGGTTCTACACTCTTGGGAGACAGTCATGATTTAATTGTCCGAAGCACAGCTTCCAGTGGCATGGTTTGGGGCTATTCAGTTTCTCCTAGTATACATACTAATGGCTACAATTTCTGTTGGAGTTATGTCCCCTGGAAGCAAAGGAGTATGCCTCAAAATTCATGAGCTGGCCCAAGAGCTGTGCCGCTTCTGGGATGCCAGGCTAAGCTACTGGGGTCGGTTGCCTGTTGTGTTATTTCGCAGGCACGCGATTCTAGGCTATAGGGGATTGTTGAAAATACTGAGAGTTGCATGACCCTCCGCTCAGCAAATATATTGGTTTAATTCACACTGAAGATAGAGATGCGGACTGGGTTAACCAATGGGGAAGGGCTTTAAGGATTCACAAACTCGCGAAGAAAGGCCTTCCGGTCCCAGACGAAAATGGATTCATCACGATCTTTACAGATTGATTTTTTTCTATTTCACGTCTTGTGTCTAGCTTGTTCCTTTACATTAATCCGCCTAAAGTCACGCCCTAAGATCCACCAAGGGAAAATAGGTGAGATGTGCCTTGAAAGATAAGGGATTTTGGTTGACCGTCACAATCGATCATCAGTTGAAAATGTCTAGAGCACGTTAAAGAAAAACATGTGAAGATCAGAGTACAATTGATCTACCAGAATGGCAACGAAATCAAATCCTCCCTATCGTCCTCCCTACCGTAGCCACAAACCCTGGCAACAAATTCAAATTCATGATCGTTTCTGCAAGTTGGAAGGTCGGACCATTCCTTCCTCGGTGTCCGTTGGTTTTCTCCATCACTTGCGTACTCATTATTTGCCTTAGCTTTGTCAAACATGTACCTAAGCACTGCCCGGCATCCCATCTGCGTCCCAGCTCGTCGCAGGTAGCTCTTGGTATAGGGTGGCCACTCGCGCCGATCCCTAGAGTACCACTCGAGATTCGCTGCGGTAGGAACGATTTTCGCCTTAAGACATTCCGCGGCGATTTGGAAAATATTCGCGAAGCCATTTCGAAGTGATTTGTTGGTTCCAAGGTTTCTTCGCACATCGGGCTCGAGCTCCTCGAGTTTGGAGTCGTTCCAATCAACCCAAAGGCCGCCATCGTCAATGTCCTCCTGCATCATGTCGTAGTAATTCTCGCCCTGAAGGATCAGAGAGCTCCTCATTCGGGCTGATAGAAGTCCTTCCACGCACTCTCCGCATGTACACCCTATCGGAGACATAGATTATTAAGCCTCAAAGCATCCTGTCCTGACAGCAAGGAGAGACAGGCCACTGCGGTGCCAGGGTATCCTTCAAAGCGATCTGATACGTGCACGACCCTGAAAAAGCCTTTTTCCTTTCGTGTTCGCATTTTCTCCAATTTCTCTCGCAATGCTTCGAGCGGGGTGTACCCGTGAATATCACGAGCCGTTTTCCAGGAGTCGGCGTGGGGGACATTCTCAAGTAGCCACTGTGTACTCAGAGGCTTGAGCTCGCAAGCCGTCAGATGCAGAATGGTGGCATCAGAGTTGGACACTCGATCCCAGCCAATCTCATCGTCAGCATGAGTGACGAAAAAGGCTTTGAGTTCCTCATCCGTCAAAGTGAGAGCTGCATGATGCAGCGGCAACATATCACGAAGCTTTTCCATTTTCAATTTGTTCGGATCGATTAAATGATCTGCTTCATAGGCAGCTTCGAGTTCTTCGTACTCAAGATCTTTAGCGTGGCTTCTACGAGGATCGAAATCAGAAGCCGCCGAAAGGGCGCGAGACTGGTGCTGAACATCAAACGAAAATGCAAAACAGCGAGATGCTCCGATTCGGCGAAAACCGCAAGCTCGCCAAAAGTCAATAGCACCGGATTCAGCTCGACTCTTTGTCATCAATCGTTCTTCCGCGGACTTGCCCTCTAACTGCGACTCGAAGTCAGCTGTTAGGGTTCCGGGACTGACTAAAGCATATGGAGTCCATGCTCGTTCAAAGTCCTCATCGGAAACCACGCCAAGTTCCGCGAGTTTGTCGTCTCCCAACATATCTATCAAGCGCTTTCTGCGGTCGAGGAGCTGTCTGTGGTCTCCCTTCTTGCCTAGGCAGAACTGTTCGGCCTTGTTCAAAAGTAAAGACACGACTTTCTGCCCCAGCCCTTTCCGACGTAGTTCCAAAGCCGTAACATGAAGACTTTCAATCAGAAAAAGAGGGCCGTTATCAAGCTCACTTCCCCATACACCAGTTCCTTTTTGCACTGGATGGTCCCTGTACTTGAGGTTCACTCTTCCATATCGATCAAAGACATGGAAGGCCACATCACACGTTTCCTCGCCGGGCTCTTCCATGTTTTCCCAGAATCTAGAGCGCATTCTCTCTCGATCAATATACCGAGCTACTGCATGGGCGACAATGACGCCATCGCAAGTGCATTCGGCGACGAAGTTTTTTATCCAGTTGAAATCGCCCATCATCTCATCGGTCAGAAAGAGCCGAATCTTCAGCGTTCGTGTCGTGTCACCGGAGGTGGTATACTCGTGCTCTTCAATGTCCTGTTGATACTCCAAATCTTCGTTCTCATCTTCAGACGGCCATTCTTCCTCCTCGGCCTCATCTAATTCACTGTATTCAGAGTCATCATCTGTCGGTTCATCATCTGTCGGTTCATCATCTGTCGGTTCATCATCTGTTGACCCATCATGTGTCAACTCATCGCCTTCAAATTCCATCCCTGTTCGTTAAGGAAATGTCAGTATATTTCAGACTCCTTTGGGAATGCACGCGTACGTTATGTTAGTGGAAGGGACGGGGGGGCGCACTGCTTCGCTTGAGGGATACTCGACCCCACTCCAAGTTCTCCGCATCGACTTCCATTCTTGTGATCAACTTTGCTTCCTGGCTTGGCTCGGGGAAAGGCTTGATGAGTTAGGAAAAGAAAGACAGAGGCGAGGCCGGAGATATAAGAGTAGCAGGGTCAGGCTCCAAGTGAGAGAACGTACCAGGGCTGTGTTGTTATGAACCGCCCCCACGCCAGTGTCTACTAGTCCATATACCCCCTGCTAGACTCCTCCGTAACACAAGTGAAAATCTATAAATACTATCGATCTCAAGACTTTCACGGCCTTCCAGGCCGATCTTGGGTGTGGAAAACCTAAAGTCAAGCCGTCGGTAGTCAAATATGGTGTTTACTACATATACCTATACGCTTGTATCAACGAGCGTGGCACACGCCCCGCACTACGGCTAGTTAGCGGCTGGGAATGAGGGGAATCTGGATATCTTTTGGGGTCCCCTCATCGGGTGTATTTCACAGGACATCTTTGTCGGTCAACAAGCCCAGGAGAGAGACACTATGTCCCGAGAAACAAATCATGGCGTCTGAGACGTGGAACTGACGCGTCAAAGGCCGCATGTAGTACAGTGAGAGTCGAAACATATTGTCGAAACTAAAGTTCTGGCCTATTTGGGTGCCTCTGGAAATTCACAAAATCTCTCTCTTTTCTAGATCCCATTTCTGGCAATTTAAGGGGGCTTTCCTAACTAAACAATAGCAAACAAACAGTGTAACATTCTTTTCTCCATTCTCAGTTCTGACACATATTTCCACATGGAGACCAGCGGGCTGTTTCTCGGCACGGCCCGTATCTAGGTCACTACCTAGGTATACGTACTTGATTTCCTCTACTGGGTGGAGCTTTCCTATCTTAGCTGCCGCCGCTTTTATAGGGGTGCTCTCAGGCCATGATGAGGTAACTAACTAACTAGTTAACTAACGTATTTCACACGTGAAAAGCCTCGAACGCCAAGCCCGTATCGAGCCGTTCAATGGCCATTCGCTCGTAGCACTGCCCCCGTTTGCTGTATGACTGAATGGCGCTTGCGATTCCTAAACCTGTCTCACGCTCCTTCCTCGACCGCGCACATACTTTTCCCAATCATCCTGCTTCGGTTGCTTCTGTCAATACATGTTGGTCCAACAGAGATGTCATCTCCTACCAGTGCCGGCGTCCTCCAGACACATCAACTCATCGAGAATCATAGCATCTTGATCCGAGATGAAATTTACGGAGAGGAACTGGTCCATGAGCCAGTTCTCGTAGAGCTTCTTCAAAGCCCGGAGGTGCAGCGACTGCAAGGCATCTGCCAGTATGGAGTCACTGGATTCTTGGGCCTGACACCGCGAGTCACACGGCTCGAACATTCGGTCGGTGCATTTATACTCGTGCGAAGAGTTGGTGCCACGATTGAAGAACAAGTCGCTGCTCTTCTCCATGACATCTCTCATACCAACCTCAGTCACGTCATCGATCACGCCCTCTCTAAGCCTGGGGAAGGAAGCTATCACGAGGTACACAAGGCACGGTATCTTGAGACGACGCGGCTGCCGGACATCCTCGCCAGATATAGGATCAACCAGAATGTTTTCGAAGAAGAACTGTTCCCTTTAGTGGAGATGCTATCGCCTCAACTGTGTGCCGATCGCCTAGACTATGCTTTACGCGACGCCGTTAGCTTCGGCAAGCTTGCTATAGAAGACGCCAGAAGGGTTGTCGGCTCACTAAAGGCGTTTCCTAGTGCTACAGCGACCGGCCGTCTGCTGGTTCTGGACGATCCCCATATAGCGCTGATTCTTTCTCGCGCATATATCACTACCGACAAAGATGTCTGGTCAAGTCCGGCCCACATCGACATGTGTCAGCGGACGGGCCGGGTGATAGGCGAACTGGTAGAGGCAGGGTCTGTGGATGATAAGGTGTTGTGGCAAGTGTCCGACGCAGAATTTTGGACTCTGCTTCGTCAAGCAGCGAATCCTAAGCAGCTTCGCGCTATCGAGAGACTGGAAGAGGAAGGGATTCCAGAGAACAACGGACTCCGACTGCCACATTGCGCTAAAATTCGCACTCTCGATCCAGACGTTTGGCAAGGAGGAGAAAAGCAACCCGCACCGTTGTCGATAGTGTTGCCAACGTGGGGATCAGAGCGACAGCAGTACATTCTCAGTCGAAGTCAGCATCGATGATGACTATTGCATCGTTGATAGCTATGGCCGTCTGCAGGCGCTGATACAGAGTCTACAACTTGAGCGTATGGCAGCACGGCGCAAGCCGTAAAGTCGATAAATATGAGCTTCTTGTGTTACATGTGGCCATGAGCCTGCCAATTCTGGCAGGAAGGCGGTCACAGGTAACCTATAAAAGGTGCACCATTTACTACCAGATAGATGGATAGTTTGATTTACCTAATTTACCCCCCTTGCGAACGATATGCAGGCTACAACAACGACATCTGGACATATATCCGAGAGCACTAGACCCATGGACACTACCTGCTAGTAATAGCATATAAACAATATCTGAAGGGTATTACTCCTTAGTTATTCTTCCATTATATAGTCATTTTCTATTCACCTAATCAGGCATCCATCACACAGTCTTTCCCAGCATAATAAACGTCACCGCTTAGGATAGGCGGTTCGTTATAAACGATCTCCTAGCTTATAGATATGTAATCTAAGGTTTGATATAAACTAATGTGAATGCCATCCTCGTTGAACCGAGACCTTACTTCAGATTGAAGGACAATGAGGAGCAATGCTACGTTAACAAAATGGCTGGCTGAATTGACAGTGAGGAGCTAATAAAAAAAACAGGAAATGGCACGGAGGCGGTACAGGCCATAAAGAATAGGAAAGTCCTGCACAACGAATTCATTCACGGGTTATTAAAAATCATTTGAGGCCTGTCTCGAGACATAACCGCGGAATCCATGTAGAGCCTCGATGACCTCGTTGAGTAAGCTATCTTCGAACACAGGGTCATAATCCGTTTTCCGTGGCAGTTTAGGCGGAAGATAAATGTGGTGCAGGAGATACAAGTTCAACTCCAAGGATCTGTCCTGGAGAGGGTAATCTCCTCATCTGTCAGTTGAAAAGAAGGGACAAGGAAGCAAGAGCAGCTCCCACCGCAGTGTCGACTTTGTTTATAAATAGGGGCAAAGTCTCTTCCGATGTTCGCGTGAATAGCGTGGCTGCTTGGGAATCGGTCATACCATGTTCGCCGACTTGTCGCAGGAAGGCCGTAGCTCTGGCGTTAAGATTTGCAGGCCGCAGCGAGTGACCCCAGACGGTTTGCTGCGGCCATCAGCGTTGGGTGGCTGGTTGCGGCGTCTAGGCGTGTGAGTCGGCAGAAGGCTTGCAACGTTGGAATAACTTGCTCGAGGTAGAATTGGACATCTCAATATTGAGACTATAAGACTTACTTCTCATCCTTTTCCCCCGCGTGGGCGCTCACGCTTTCCCACTTTCTTGGACTGTACGCATCAATGTATCTCCCATCATTAGATTATCTCAAAGATTGATTGCTCACTGTGGTGATGGTGGCTTGGGCACGGACATTAGTGTATATGCATCTTGGGGTGACCACGCGATATGGCTATCAACAAAGATGGGACTTACAGGAGTTTCTTTTGTCTCTGACATTGCGAGTATGGCCAGTAGAAGATGACAAGAGAAAAGAAGAAAAGAAATTTAGAGAAGCTTTCTGTTGATCGAGAGAAGAGGAAGAAGGAAAAGGAAGGGGAAAGGAATCTCAGGGGGAAGGAGCAAAGTGGGCAAGTGCACTACACAATACGTACTGTTATGTCTAAGCGTATTACACCTCACCTATACATGTATCTGACTTATTCTTTACCGTATAGTCAAGTCTGCATTCACCTACTAATCAGGCATCACGATGACTTGCTTGAAAACACTGCGTATTGAGCACTTCTGCCAAATACTCGTAATTGCGTAAGTGAAATGATAGATGTCGTTCTTTTCCCGTCATTTCCTAAAACTGTTCGAGGAAGTTGAGAAATTTTGGAGATGAATAAATTCATCCACCGTACGGAGTATTCTGATATGTTTTGGGTCTACATTTAGCGATAGCTAAATATTCCAAGGTTAATATCGAGACTACCCTGGGCATTATTTTAAACTATTTAGATTCCGCGCTAGGCTTACCATACAACCATGATTCCATGATTCCATGATACTACAGACGGAGAAAGCTCAGGCGACTCTAGGCGAATGGTAAACCGGAAGATATATAGAATAATCAGGTTTTTAAGGATCTAGATTGTATTGCTGTTTCGTAGATACAGTAGTTCCAACGATGCACATTGACGAACCTTTGATGGTATCTGAAGATGAAACGTTGACAACCTGAGACTTATTCACGATAGTCTGGATTGTTGGGAGAATTTGGTTCAACCAATACACGAGCCATAAAAACCTGTAATTTCTGATCATCAGATCTCAGATATTATTAAGATCTAGAAAGGGAGGCAATGTTTGTATCTCTGGTTCCTATATTATCCGTAAATGTAGTGACATCATGAGTATCTAAACAGAAGAACACCTAGATAAATGGTAAGACCGCATAAGCTATAAGTATGATACGAGTCCCTCAAAATTAAATATATGCATATTAGTGAAGTACTCAAATCAAACCACTTCTCATTCTAGTATGTATGAGCATTCTATTTCAAGTGGATGCGACGTTCATACGCTGGACTAACTAACATCTAGTACAAAGCAATGAAGTTTTCCATGATCTCGGCTATTGCTCTGCTCTTGAGCACTTCTTCGGCTTGGGAGCTTCGAGCAAATAACCAAGTAATCACCGGAACTGCACCTCGGGGTTGTACGTCCATTTTCATTCCCCGAGGCGCCAGAATCAGCTGGGAGGGATCCAAGGGCGCTCGAACACTTCAAGTGTTCAACGTACGAGGAAGCTGTTCTCAAGTCTATCGGACTGTTATGGGTGTTGGAGATATCAATGCATCGAATGATATCTATGGCTATGTGGTGAAGCCTTGAAAATGCACGGAGTACTTTGTGCGCTTCCAAGCTTCCAAGGCGACGCTGTTCATGGGGGCGCTATTGAATTTAGTTTGGTCATGCTTTTTGTTCATGAATGGATTTTCCTTCCACCTAAATAATAATACTCTCAAACAAGCGATTTATGCAGAAAGATCTTCCGGACCCAACACGTAAAGATACTATACACGTACAGTATATTTGTGAGTAGGAACACCGTGTAAGACACCCTACATACCACTAACCCTGGTATACTACCAAGAGTGTGGGTGTGGAGTAAACACTACCTGCGAGTAATAGCATATAAACGATATCTGAGGGTATCACTCCTTAGTATTCTTCCACTATATAGTCAGTTTGTATTTACCTAATCAGGCATCCGTCACACTGACTTGCTTAGAAGTTCAGCATAATAAACGTCACCGCTTGCGATACCAGGGAATAGGCGGTTTCATTATAAACAATCTCCTAGCTTATACATGTCTAATCTAAGGTTTGTTACCAGCTACTGTGGATGCCATCACTCGTTGAACCGAGACCTTACTTCCCTCTGAAGGACAATGAAGAGCAATGATGAAATGAATGTAATTGATTGATATTCAAAGATAATTGGATAATTCACGCGTGATCACAGGCCCCCATGTCCCAGGGTCTCTCTGTGCTCTTGAACGAAGTATGCAATTATTGTGGGTAAATGAGTAACCAGAGCTTGAGTTTCCTCGTCTGTCAAGACCAAACCAGGAATCAGGGACGCCAAAGTTTCCACCGCGGAGACAACCACGCCAGTGTCGCCTGTGTTTATTCGAATATCAGCATCGCTTCTCAACAAAACCTGTAAGCCGAAAGGATATAACAGGAATTTCGGCTATATTGGCCAACATCCGGTGTAGTGGAGATCCTTCCTCCCAAGAGAAGGACTGATGAAGGGCTCATAATTGGAATGCGAGGGTATTCAACTTACTGGGCGCGGAGAGGGAGGCGGGGGGAAGAGCGACGGCAGGAGTAGTGGCCTGCGAGGCGGCATGGGAGGTCACAGAAGAGGAGGCGGCAGCAGGACCGGGCTGCGACGTGGCGGGGTGGGCGGAGGATTCTACTTGCAAGATATTAGTATTTCTCCTGGTAGATAGGGTAGACAACATCAATATGTCATGGGATACTAACCAGTGCCGGCAACAGAACCAGCATCCGCAGCGGAGACCAGAGCGTTCTCAAGCTCTTTGGCTAGATGTACTGTTAGTACCTCTCGTTCTCTCTCTCGACATGCATGGGATGCATCGATCCAGTTTTCGTAATATGGACCTCGGTAGACAGGGCTTTTACCTTTCTCTCGCGCAATTCTATCTGCGTTTATGGGTCAGCTTTCTGCCTAATTCGAGGGGCCTTCAATAGCTACACAATCTGAATCAATGAAAAAAGCAGACTGTATTGTTCAGTGCCAGTTGCCAGTGGATGTTGAAGAGATTCAACTCGAGGTAGGATTGGACATCTCAATACTGAGACCGTGAGACTTACTTCTAATTTTTCTTCCCCCGCGGGGGCGCCGAGGTTTACCCACTCTGTTGGACTGTACACATCAATGTCTCTCCTCATCAATAGATCATCTCAAAGATTGATTGCTCACGCTGGTGGGGGTGGCCGGGGGCTGAACGGTGGTCTGGCACGGTTGTCAGTGTTCATTCACATCTTGGAGTGAGGGCATGGGCATGGGGTGACCACAGGAGACACTGCCATCAACAAAGATGAGACTTACGGGGGTTTCTTTTCTCTCGGACATGATAAGGGTCGCGAGGCTTAGGAGTAGATGGTGACAAGAGAAAAGACGAAAAGAAGTTCAGATGGAGATGCTTTCTGTTGATCGAGAGAAGAGGAAGAAGGAAACGGAAGAAGGAAAAGGAAGAAGAAAAGGGAGAGGGATAGTGAGAGGCCAGGAGGAAGGAGCATAGGTAGTACCTTCTAGTATGCCCCTAAGAGTATTATTCCTCAATTACTGCCCACTTATTCCTCACTTATTCTTCACAAGAATAGTCAGCCGCTTATGCGGCCGTGTCAAGTCTTTTTTGGTAGTCTTTTATGGAGGTCTTCTCAGATGTCTTTTTAGATGTCTTTTTGGTGGTCATTTGTGGTGGTCTTTTCGGATTCTTCTGAATTGGTCTTCTCAGTTAGTCTTTTCAGATGTCTGTTTTCATAGATATTGTCTCCCCCTTCTCAGTTTGTTAGCTAGACGGCAGAAAAAGGCAGGGAAAAGCATACTTTGTGTAGAGACTTTTCTATGTATAACCTTTGACTTTGTAGTAGCTAATGAGAGATTGATTACGATGACTTGCTTGAAAGCACTGTGTATAGAGCCATTCCGCCAGATATTGTACTTACATGTAACCCTGGAGGGTTGGAATATCAAACTATTCCTCCCCTCTCTTCCATCAATATCTCCCTTACATCCATGTAGTCCTCATCATCCTTGTCCAAAATAGAATCCTCTTGTAGTTTATCAAGGATCTCCAGCACATAGTCCTGACAATCCCATTCAACGGTCTCGTTATCCACAAGCACGCTTTGTGCAGCACTCTTCACTCTCTCGACATCGTTCTCTCCAAGCACAGCAATGAAGAACTGGCGTAGGAAAGTGCTTGATTCCTTCGGATTCTCCATAAACGTGTTGCGTTTGAATTGTGGATGCTCGCCATCGACTTCGAAAATGTGGTGCTCTTGGCCTTTCTCTATATGCAACGCCCAATGCAGGAAATTTCCATAGCGTGGCTGGTAGAACACGACAAAGAGCTTTGGAGACATCCTATTTGCTTCGCTTAGTATCTTAGCTATGTTGTTGCCAAGGAGTTCACCAGTTCCTCTTACCTTGGGTTGTTACGCTTCCGCAAACTCTAGGGAATAGGCGTGGGTGTATACAGACAACGTTGTGCTGGATTTGATTGGGGATAGTCTGGGGGGAAAGGAGAAGAGAGCAAGCTTCATATGTATGTTATGTAGGTACTTGGTCAATCATGCAAGGTTGCTTAATGCATATGCCTGGTGCATCAGGCTTCCAGTCAAGGCGCTTGAACTAACTAGAAGGGCAGGTTTAGAAGTAGTGAAGGAAATTAACATTGCTTTCAGTTGCTGCTTGACATTGAATGGTACATATTACCATTATAAAATACAATCTATGGGATATCAACGTTAGGAAAGAACTTAATAGTATTACTCCTCGTTAGAGATCAGATGAAGGAAGATACCGTGAAACGCCATACGCTGTACACCCCGAAACACCCCATATAAACATTCAAAGAAAACATATCCTCTCAGCCAAAGAGATACTTCTGCCAGCTCTGTTTCCAAGGCTTCCAGGTCCCCCCAAACCGATGGTTAATACAAGCTTGCTGGCTATTGAAGCCCTCCGATCCAGAATGCCGCTGTCCATTACCCCAAGCGTTGACAGGCAGAACACACAAACCTCCCATTGGCTTGTCAGGCTTGGCCTCGGAACCCTCAAGACAGACCGGCTCTTGAATCCCGTGGAAAGGCGCCCATGTCACACGCTGTACAGACGAAGCCGATGACGAGAACTCAGCGTCCGCCTCCGCAGACTGCTGAACTAACGGATGTGTAGATGGCAATGTATCTGATAGAACATCGAGAATGGCATCGGTAAACACGCCCGGCCCCGTGATCTCCAACGTATCCATTTCGTTGTATCTCCCGCTCCAGAAATGACTTCCGTCGACTCGATGCTTCGTATGGGACAGTACACGGACGATGATCTCTCTCAGCAGTGGACTGAACCGTCGTGGCGCATAAATCGCGTACTGGATGAAGCTGTAGCGTCGGGCCCAGTGCCAGTCGCGCATCTTCTGTGGCGAAGCGAAGGGCTCGTCGATCTCAATTCCGACAACTAGCGAGACATTCGTGTTGATTGTGTTGTCTTTGAAGACTGAGTCGCGCAGGGAGGGGCAGGATTTGATGCTTCGTGCGGGATATACGTCGAGGTCTGCATAGTAGCCGCCGTAGTACCATAGAATCAAGTAGCGGAGGAGATCGCCCCGATGGACGGAGTGCGGGTATGATTTGTAGAGTCGGGCGATGTCCGGGATGGCTTCAAGAGTCTCGAAAATGAATTTGTCTGCCCAGTCGGCTTGTACGAGCTGTGAGTTGAATAGTTAGTCGCTTTGGTTCGAGCTGGTATTTAATTACCAAGATATGAATTGTTCGTTGTCCGTCTTACCTTGTATTTCCATTCCGAGTTCTTTTTCTCGAATTGGATTGAATCGTCGCTTCGCTCGCTGACACCGGGTAGCATGATTTGCCATAGTGTGTCTGTTGCATCCTCATCGTGGCGCATTTCCCTTTCTATCTCCATGGCGCGTAGCGCATTGGAGAGCTTGATCTCGTATTCATAATCTGGGTCCGCGCGAAATGTAGACTGGTGGAGATATCGTGGTCGGTCTTCCCCGTACGACTGCTTAGTGTGGGGGTCTGGCCTGGATATTGGGGTGGGCACAGACTTGAAAAGAATTAATAGAGTCAGAATCGCGGCCACCAGGACATATTTATGCCGGTTTGGAAACCCCAGGAACACGCGACTCCTCATGGTGAGTGGTAAGAGGACTAGCCATAACAAATACGAGAGAGAGTAGAGGGTGAATTTTCTTTGGGCTGTCAGCTTTAGCCCCCGAACAGACCTCGGGAAGGTTTAATCTCATTGGTTTCAGCTGATTGGTGTAACTGCGATGGACCCTGGATATTAAACTTTGGGAGATTCACTATCGTTAATTGGAATGTTTGGGGATATAGAAGTAGGGAGGAACCCATGTAGATACTGTGATCCTCTGTGATTTCAGGACTATAACCTCTAATTGAAAGAAAGAACATTTGAACATTTGAACATTTGAACATTTGAACTTGTTGAACTTGTTGAATGATTTAATTGTGGGGTTCACCACATGTGGATATCTTAGGTCTTGGCAATCTTAATCGGAAACTATGGAGCGATAACACACGAGAGCTCAAGAAAAGCTTGGCTATGCTTGCTTGTATAGCTTGTATAGCTTGTATAGCTTGTATAGCATATATTTTGATACATTTAACAGAGTTGTGAATCTTATATTACTATTCCATCATCTTTCAATAGTACATCAAACATACATATGTACCTACCTAGGTAGGTAACCTTGATTTGATAATCCTTATTCTCATCCTCAACAACCCAAACCACGTAAAAGCCTCAACTTCGAAATCACGTGCCATAAGAGCTAAGCAATAGTATTCTCGACCTCGACCAGATGACTCTGATTTCTCTTTCCCTTCCGCTAGCTTTCATCCTCAGTTGTACCACACCGTATGCGCTGTCTTCCGTATGGGAGATAACAAGGCCTCAACGGGTACGAGTGACTTCTTACTGAACGAAATATGAGACAAGTATAAACTTACAACCTCATCCAGTAGTATGGCAAACAATTCAAGCAACGGCGCAGGTGCGCTCCCGAGACAAGTCGCAAGGCAACTCAGGCAACAGAGCCAAACCCGAGGGCGTCCAACGGCACGACCCGGCGTGTCAAACTCTCAGAACAGTATGTACCGAGCTGCCCCATACCCGGGCCCTATCCGACCTGGCATGGGCAGCAGCCGCTTCGCCACTGTCCTAAATGATGCGGAAGACCCTGTTGAACCTGATCCCATGGAACTTGATCCGATGGAAATCGACACCCCTCCCGAGCAAGAGCCTGCATCAACCACCACTGTGACTGGCACGAACGAGCAAGGCACGAACGAGCAATCTGAGGATAACGGCATCCACCGCCACATCTTCTACATCCCCATTCGATCTCGTCCCATGCCAACTCTGGATCTTGATGTGCTGACCGCAGCTCGGGCTGAAGTGACTCGTCTTCAGAGAGCAGGAATTCCAATTATGCAAACCCTGCCTGAGCGACCTGGACCGCATCTCTACATTCGTGTTGATACTGACCAGGCTAATCGCGATCATGCCCTTGTTGATGCCAATCTTCGGATGGGTACCATGCAGGACATGATTCGCGATGGCTTCGGCTGGTTTACGGGCTTGCCTTACCGCCACCCGCATTTCGAAGTCAAGTTCCTTCGTGGTCGACGCCTCTAGGTTGAGGTTCTGTGACTGGGTGGATTTCTGAGCTTTATGAGCACTGTTTCAGGGTTAGAAGTGGATTTGATGAGCCTAGTATGGGGTTCGATTGAGAGGAATTTGTACTTTGACAACCAATGTATTCTTGGGTGAGCAAGATTCATTAGTTAGATATGTTTCCTGTTGTTCTCTCGTCTGTCCCTTCTTCTCTTCCTCTGGCTTCTTCTCCTCATTCTTACATCCAGATAGCCACAAATACTATTCTTAAACTATCGTGCACGGATCATATAACCTACCCACCTAGACCTCCAGGGCTGCAAGATCAAGAATAGAGTAACCAGTGATGCATTCCAGTATACCCCAAAAACCTAACCAGTGAACTTGAGTGATCTCAAACACTATAGCCTCATAGCTTCATAGCTTCCATAACGCCATGACAAACTCCCGCAATGCAATATCCAAATCCCATCAACAGAAAAATGCTAACCTTCACTTTCACTTTCCACCGGACGCAACGCCAATGTAGTTTCCCTCTTCTCACATCCCTGCCAAGCCCGTTCAATGGTTTGGATAGTAGGCAAGACCTGCTCACGAGCCTCCTTCCGACTGACGCCCTCCTCGAGCAACTTCTCATAAGGCGTATGGACATGTCGAATGTGCGCCTCAACAGCCAGGAGCGTCTTCCGCTCGTCACTGATCATCGCTGTCCGCCCTACACGCCCTGACCCCTTGAGGAAGGCATGCTCCAGGACGATTTTGAGGGTTTCCTTGGGCATAAGCGGGAATTCGTTCTTCAGGAGCTCTCGGGACTTGGAGAGATCCTTGGCGTCGCGCACTTGCACGGCATTGGCGCGTGATTCTTTTGTTGCGGCGGCTGATTCGAGAACTTCTGTGTGGATTTCTTCGGGCACTCGAATTCCCAGGGTTCTTTTTCCCGTGCGGTTCTGGGGCTGTTAGCGCTTCCTTTCTGTGGCTGAAACGGGTGGTTCGGATGAGGACTTACGTAGACGACATAGACAATTCGCTCGGACTCTTTGGTCTTACTGCGGCAGTGTCGGGTGATATAGACATCACCCTTGGGGACTAGAACGTAGCCGGCTGGCAAGGGTACTTGCTCAACAATGTTCTGGTTTCAATGTTCAGCATGGTATCCTTCAATAATAATACAGGTCAACTCACCTTTTCAAGTGGATCGTCAGAGACAGGAATGAGTGCTGTCCATGGTTTCTTTGGTTTACGGCGCTTCGTCGTCTCGTTGAGTACTTCTGCGAGCGGTTGGATTGGCGAACCTGCATCTATCGGACGTGCATGGCCTTCGCGAGTGCGGACTCCCCGGTTCTTCTTTCTCACACGTGGCTTGCGTTTGCGAACTTTGGGTTTAGTGGTTGGTGCCATGTTGAGTGTTCATGAAGCCAAGGAGGTGGGATGAGTTGATGGTTGACACGGTGGTGGGATGCGACTCGCACATCGATTCCATTGAGGGAGATGCTCTGGCAGCACTGAGATCTGATTGTTATTCAATGTTTATTTTTGGACCTGAAACACTTCCGGGTCTTTGATACTTCGACAGTTTACGGTCAAAGCAGATCAGGAACGGTGGCTGTGGCACTGTGGCACTGTGGCTGTGTGGGAGCCTCATTTTAGTGCCTGGATAATCAGGCTATAAACTCTGATCTCCACCCTAAAATCCGGCTATTACTGTTTTAGAAGAACTTGATACATCTGCTCTCCAAAAGTACAAGTACAAAGTAGGTTCCCGAGTTATTGTCGTTGATTCCAGACCAGATGTGAATGGACCGGTCAAACGTGGTGATATCACATATGAGATCAGCATAAACTGGAGAACCGATTATCCGAGGCTCATTGGTTGGATCCATCACCCTAGAGACAGATTCTATGGAATAAGATTAGGATCATCAGATCTCCAGATTGTGAGATCGGAGTTGAGTTTCGCCTAAAGGCCTAATCTAAGACATTCTCCAGTGTACTCCGTATGTTGTACGGAGTATAGACAATCCTAACAAGAAGCAAACCAAGGCGGGTACGGGGAGCAGCGTAGAGCATGGACCTCGGGAGTAACTAATATAATCTTCGGGCACAAAGAGATGCCAAGAGGGTTTGCTAGGGGCTTAGCTCCTCAAACCCTGATTACTCCGTACCCCAGTTGAACACGGGGTTGAATTTCCCCCCTTTCATGCACGAGGGGTTCTGCTTGGAGTGGAATATCCGGATAGTCTGATCTTTTGATATTCCGAAGCTATGAAGCTCTGAAGCTCTGAAGCTCTAAAGCTCCAATGTGGACTCCTCCATACAACATCCAACATTGCACAAGATATATCGCATGTCCAGAGGCTCCACATCTTACATGTCGTCATTGGTGAGATTTGTCCGCTTTGATCTCACGATCTCACTGGTTGCCTAGAAGAGCTGGACCGGCATCCCCGACGGCTCAATCTTGTCCCTACTATTGTACAAAGTAGGTCTAGATCGGCAGTCAAGGGGAAGAAAGTCTGAGTCTGACTTTCCTTGATAGATGAATACATACTCCGTACTACTTTCGTGTGTAAAGTGAACATGGTATTTGTGTTCATATTCCTCTTTGTTCCTGCATGAAGCACAACATAACTACATTAAATGTTATACTTACATACTTCAACATAACCTGAAAGAGCTGTGGATCAGTGGATTCCCTGGAAAAATAAAAAAATCCGAGTCCCCACGTAAAAGAAATAAAAAGATTTAAATGAGTAAAAAGAATATTGAAAAGAATTGCAAAAAGGGAATTTTCTCTTAAGGGAAAAGAAAAAAAAAAAGAAACCGACAAACAGAGCAAAAGAAAAACATCTCCCCTCCCGACTCTCCTTCCGATACCAATTCCTCCCTTTGAATTATAACACTCTTTACCACCTACTCCGTACACAATATGAATTAACTCCCAATGATCTTACTGGCTATCTCCAATTCCTGTCATTCTCAATCAATTAAAGTTGCCTGGCAGCTTGATCTTCAATGGTTACTGGGTCTGTGTTGCTGACATGAGTTGGGATCACCCTGTCCACAGGTATGCATTCTCCCTTGATGAAACCCCCTTGTGGGGGTGTCACATAGTAGTTTTCACTATTCTTTTTTTTTCTACAATCTATACTATATGCCTATGTGAAAAGATAACTCATGGATTCGTTTATGTTCAGCTTCAGCTATCCCAACGGTGAACCTCAAACTCCGACGAGGACTCCGAATACCTTCGACTCGTTTCATACCCCAAAACTCGAATCCAGCTTTTTTGACCCCCGGGTGACCTGGGATACCTCCGATCCATATGCCTCCAGCCCGGAGCTCCTCCGCACACCGCAGAGGTTTGGTCTAGGCTCGTCAAATTCACTGAAAGGTCACAATGGGGAGAATACCGGTTACAAAGGGAGGTCCTCGGACCAGACCGATACGGCCAGACGGATTCGCCCGGTGAAGCCTCTTCCGAGTATGGGCGAGGATTACCCTCGGACAGTGGGATCGGCCAAGTCAGCAGCCTCGATGCAAACGCCGCCGCCGACAAGTGCATCAAGGAGAAAAATCCCCGAGTTTGACCAGCCCGATGGACATACACAAGGAGCAACGCCAGGCATGGGAGGTCATTTGGAAACACCCAGTCGTCTTCTCGGAGAGTCCCCTCGAATGTTTGGCAACCTCCAATCGTCACCCGATCTTTTTCAGCTGGCTTCATTGGATCCCACGGGCTCGCCTTTCTTCCCACAGCAACGACTGTTCTGGGATCATGATCTAGACAATACAGCGAGCGAGGTTCCCTTACCCAGCAACGGGATCAATTTGAACGCTCGTCAGAATTCCGCCTTTACAAACACACATCACATCCCCCAATTACCAAACATTGGTGGTTCAATTGATCTTCCCGACTTTGGCAACGGTTTTGGCATTTCAGCACCACCACCCACTGATGCTGCCCTATTTCCTGCGCCATTCTCTACCTCTCCCCGACTTCCGGTCACCAAGGCTGAGGATCCAGCTCTGTTTCTTAGCTCCCCTGCTCGGAGATTCGGAGGACCTCAACTTACACCAGAGACGCGGTCTCTTCGTGGCCTTCGACAGCCCTATCACCACCAGGCAGAAGAGTCAAGGCGGGAAGAGCTCATTCGTGCACAGGCACCAAATGGCCACCGATCCGATCCTTTCACCGTCTTCCCGAGCGAGAGCGAAGAGGAAGATGACGACTACACACCGAGGGGAATACGACCAGGTATAGCCCGCAGTGTGACCCACAACGGCCTGCCTAGCTCATCCCGGCCGCTCACTCAAGCCGGAGGTTTGATGGCATCTACCAGCGGAATCCGAAAGAGCCCATGTAAAGGGCGTTCATCTCCAGCAAAAACCATGCGTCCGGCCCCCTTGACACGATCTAGTTCGACGGCCACCGGCTCCTTGACGCGCTCATCGTCTGTAGTGCTTCGCATTGGTCGAGATGGCCGTGCAAAGGCTGAAATGGAACCACTCAGTGAAGCTCCCACAGGGTTGACCGATCCCCTGACCGGGATTGATTTGGATGGCTCTACAACCGAGAGTGAATCAGATCCTGCTGAGTTCTCGGAATATCCCGTGTTGCATCGCGCCCAGTCGTCCTTTTCGCTCTATGACAGCTCAAGGCGTCCATTATCCCGGAGTGATTCAGGCTCCCGTCCTCCTTCAAAGGGCTCCTATGCTTCCACCGTCGGCTCATCACACTCGGGTCGGATGTCACCCTGGGCTGGCTCTTCCAGGGGAGGTGGGCGAGCAACGTATCGTGGATCTCCTGATATTAAGCGGACACCCAAACGGCATTCGTCTCTGCTGCACTCGGACTCGACATATACTCGGAGTAGTGTAGCATCAGACTTGTTGCCCGGGGAGGACGACGAAAGTGGTGATGCTCAATCTGCGCTCCGACAGGTCCTTAAAGAACGCGGCCGGGGACCAAGACCCGCCACGAACGCGTTTGGCAACCGACTTTCCCGGTCATCGCATACCTT